TGCTGCAGGTTTCCGCTGGTCTGTGTCTTCTTTGGAACCACCCCTACCTTGGTGTGAGGCCCTGGCATGGGCTTCCTCGTCCTGCAATCCTTGTGGAATGGCTGCCCTGGAATCTTGTCCTCTTGCTGCCTTTCTTGGTGCTTTTGCGGGCCGACCGGTGTCAGTGAGACCAAGCTGATCAGCTCTGGCCCTTGATCTTGTCTGTCTAGCACCTATAGGATTGAAAGCAAGGTCCAAACCAAGGGCTTTCTGCATCAGTTGGTGGCAGCGCTTGTTCTGTTGCATGTGAGATTGCTGATATCCCACAGATTTGAATTTTTTTATTGCAGTAAGGGCACTCAAACTCCTTCTTTGATGATGCCATGGCTGCAAGCTAGCTAGCCAACACTAGCTGCTACTAGCTAGGCGCACTGGCTGGTGATTTGGATTCTGTGTGCTGGGGAACCGCCCGCTTACCAATCGGGATATAGTTTATGGTACCAAAGAGAGGGTTTGCCTTCCCGAAAAGACGGTCCAAAAAGTGGATCCCAAATCGTGAAGCAGGCAGTCTTGCCGGGCGGGCCTTCGTTGCATGCCCATGTGGAACACACAATCCCGATTCCAATCACTGCACGCATTCTTGGAAGAAATTACGTCACGGATCGGGATAGTGCTGGTTGGCGTTTGGTACCTGCACGCATGTCGATTCTAGCACTACCTAAAAATGCGCTTCTTAGATCTGCGATGGAAACGCTGCGATGGAAGCAAAAGTTGCGATGGAAACGATGTCCCATACTCTGTGTTGGAGGACGAGCACTGATACTTTGAAGCACCGATATCACCGAAAATGGCTAGATTTGACATGCCAAAACGGGAAATTGAGGTGACGCAAATTGTGCAACCCTATGTTAGAACCGAACTACTCAATTTTTGTGCTTCGGATTTCCGCGAAAAGCAGGTCGAAATGGCAACATTGCCTTCCTGGAGCACAGATTTGACGATTTAGACATGCGAGTTCAAGAAACTGGACGACTTTTCCCAGCACCCCTGTTTCTGCGAAACGACGAGAATGCCGAATCAGAACAGGCTGGAAGATGCGATTTGATGAATCAAGAGAAGATCTACAACCGACTAGATGATGACCTGAGACTAGACGACGAAGATAATCCTGGCTTGAGGGGACTTTGTGTCAGAGATTGAACGATCAAGAAGAGAGATTAGAATGACCCTGGCAACAGGACCCTGAAGTTCAGAGACAAAAGTCAAGGTCCTGAATGGGCTGAGCCATTTTTTTACCTGTGTGGCCCATGAGATCCTGGCAGTCTGGCCCAGGATTTAGGTTTTCCCATAAGACTCTGGACATAGAGGTTGAAGCTGTTGCCCGAATGCAACCCTGAAGCTGTGAATTGAAGAATGTTGGCTCGAAGCTAGAGAGTGCAAGAGCAGCCATACGAGCAATGAACAAAATGAAATCATGTTGAGTTGAACGACGAATTGAGAGACGAATGACATGATAGAGCGATGATAGAGCGATGTAGCCATGCATATGATGCATACCTTCATTGAGGGGACCGAAAATGACTGATGACTGCGACTGGATGCCAGTTATCCAGTTACCAGCTTACTAGAATCAGCCACACAACAACAACCAAGTAGTAACACACAACTATAACAACAACTACTCTATCAACACCTCCTCTGCTACTACCACTGTGGAAATTCGATACTACCAGTAGTCTACTAATAATTGTAGAGCAGACTGCTACACAAAGGCAGTACTAGCTATGAGTAGTACTTATTCTAAAGTAAATATGATTGAATGGGATTTGATTGGGGAAAAAAACACGCAATCAATCGTGCGCGCCGGGCCGGATTGCACCATTCGAAATAAATAAACCGAGGAAGGTGAAACGAATGAAACTCTCATCTAAGTCGGGCGGCCCCGCACACGACTCGATTCAAACAAAATTAATGGCATGTCATGATGCGCTCCAAAAATAACAGAGTTTGCCGACATTCACGAAATAAATGATGGCCAACAACACATCATACGAACTGCAATGGCTGAATCGAATCAGGGCCAACACCACGAAAGAAAAAGAAAACACAAGACAACACAACACCACTAATCTCCACAAATCGCTCGTTCTTCCATAGTTACAATTGAGTACGAACCTACGCTAAAACACTTCTTTGATACTTAGCTATGAGGTTAATAGTTGGCATGCTGGTTCTATTAAGGGCGGAATCCGGATTTCTCCCTTTTGCATCACGTCCAGGAGTCCGACGAGTACACTACAATAGTCTCTGGGTTCCAGGACAACACCGAGGCGCTTTTTGGAAGGCTGCTTCCGAGGAAGAAACTAGCAGCTCCACCTCTACTGATAGTGATGATCCTTGGGCCGAATATCGCAATAAAAACAACATTGAGGATCAAGTGGTCTCGGCCATTTCCAAAGATGGCGGAATCAAAGTGACGGCCTGTACAAATTCGCAATAATATGGTCAACGATTTGATGATTCAACACACCATGACCAACACTCCCATTCAAGCCATTGGACGGACCATAACCTGTGCCTTGTTAATGTCCAATGGAACAATGGAATGCAAGAGGAACAAACCTTGCAAATCACTCTGAACTGCCTGACTTAATTAAAGGTGACAATGTCGTACTGTTGGCACGACATGTCATGACATTTTACTGGATGCTTTGTTTTAGTTACGAATTGACAAGGTTTTTATCAATTGATGACCCTTCTAATCCATGTTGGCCACATCACGTTCATTGTTTTACAGTCAAGACGCTTCAAGAGTCATTTTCTGTCAATAAGATGCACTCGGTGGTTTCCGAAGAGCACTTTCTTGTCGATAATTGACCGTGCGTAGGCGCCGGTAGAACTGCCAGTCTTTTATCTATGAATCTTGGCTTGCAGGGCGCAAGTTGCACAAGGTGGATGGTTCATTTTCCAGTTCGTTTTCTTCCCTCTTTCTTGTAATTTTAAAATTACTGAATTACTGTTTAGTAGACAAGACCTGCTTGTTAGGCTCAGACCTGAAACTGGATCTGTGTTTTGCCACCACCAGATTGCTCCCACCATAGCACCAGCGCATCAGTGGCTCTTTCAGTTTCGATTTCCATTATCAACTACGGTCTCCTTCCATCAATCACATCACAAGTTGCTGTGCACTGTTATTGCACCTAGCAAGAGTCCTTAAGATCGACCAAGTATCACGGTTGCTGTTTACTATTCTCTGGACAATCAAGTCTCCTGCATGAACAGGTAGTTTTTATTCCATAAAAGGTATACTCCTCTTTTTGTCAAGACGAGACCAGTTCAGCTCCATTATTGAGACTTGCTAGATATCAGTCGTTATCAGCACAGGCTGCTACTGCGGGTTTTACCACAGAACAACACTACATTTTCACTGCCTTGTCAGCAAGCAATGAACTTGGAACAACAAGCATCTACTGCGCCTGTAGCATCAGTTGCCGAACTCCCGCCCATTGAATACTTGAATTTCAGCAGCAGCATTATGCCACCCACAGCATCCGTGTCGGATCGTCACAACAATGTCGACGACAACAACCACGACCGTCGCAGATCAAATCCATTTCGACATAGTACAGGCACCATGGATACCTCCATCGGCAGTAGCTACAACAACCATAACACTATGGAGATGTCCATCTCGGACCTCAAGCAGCGACGACGATCCAAATTTCTGGAAGATTCCTCCAACATGACGGCCACCACCGTCAACTCTTCCTACAATAACCAATCCAGCTCCCTTTTTGGCGGGTCCTTTTCACATCATCAACTTCATCGAGCATCCAATAGTACCATGGATGATGATACGAGTGACTGTTCTTCTCTCAAGCAACGACCAAGGGCGTATTCCTCTGTCTCATTCACCGATTCATTGTTGGATGATTCGTCAGGGATATCCCTGGGCAGCAGTGGGAGGCGGACACGGGAGCTACGAAACCTCAAGGGTATCCGACGACGACGATCCGATCCGGTCACACGTCGATGGAGGGAACAATGCTCCAAACTCTACAAGGAACATGTCCTGGATTCTTGTCCAGAGCAACAAATACCCCCACTGACAACACCACAACAGGTTTTGGCAGCCATCAAAATACAATCCTGGTTCCGAAGAAGAGGACAATGTCAACGACAACGACTGTTGCAGGCATAGTAAAAAGAAGGAAAAAGACAACATACCAACATAGCCAATGGATGGATCGTTGGCTTGACTAATAACACTACAACAGTGCTGACTAATAACACCACAACAGTGCTAAAATATAGAGGATTGTTCTAATCTACTCGACTCTAGCTAGATAGTACGGTAGCGTTGCCTCCATAGTCGAGTTGGGTATGCAGACTAGGTCTACCCCACAGTGGGCCCCCAGAGACCTCGAAGAAACTTCGAAGCACGCCAAGCGAATCGGACCTGGTAAACTTGCAGGGCGAAACGCAGCCCCAAAACTATCTAGCTAGCTGGCTTGGAGAGGAACATGCCCAACACAACAAGAAGCGCCGGGGCAACCGGACCCGAACTGGATATATACATACTCTACTAAAGCTACTAGAGGCATTAGAGGCTTCGCAAAACGATGCAAGATCATAACATACCGCTTCTTCTTTTTGCTGATGCTTCTTTTCCTAACCCGCCGGAAAAGCATGTCTCGACGAGGACTCGTGCGGGTCCGTTGCAGGTTGAAGACTCCATTCCGGCAAAGACTGCCCCTGGCAGTGGAGGTTGTTTGTGTTTGGTTCCAGGATGCATGTGGGAATGCCTCTATTAACAGAGACTGCGGCTGATCGGAGATGCAAAAGGAGCAAAGATTGCGTGGATTGTGGGAGTTCTTCTTGCTGGTGGCTGCTGCTTCTTTCACAGGCACACCGAAGGCACACTTGACGGGGTTGTCCGCGTTGTCTACGAGCAGCACAGCACAGACTAGCTAGATAGAAGAAAGCGTTCAAAACTTGCACTACTTTTTACCCTTTTTCTTTGTCAGTTTGGCTACGAACTCCGTCTCCAAGGGATTGTCTTTCAGTGTTTCTTTCCATGCCTTGACAAGTGCGGCAAACTTTTTCCTGGCAGCCAGTTCTTCCGGGCTGGGCTTTCCCTTTGTGTGCGGGGGACGCTCTGAGCACAAGGCGTCCCACTGTCGACCCAGTTCTTCCTCGCGCTCGGGAGACAAAGCGGCCACCGCTTTTGACTTCTTGTGTTGTTGTGGCAAAATCTCAAAAATGGCCCCGATTGGGACGTGGTCCGACGGACAAAACGCAGATGGAAACCCACAGTCGTCCCCTTTGGCATGCACGTGTTCGTCCATTTCTTCTGGAGAAAAGGCATCCAACGCACACCGGAGACGAAGACAATCTTGCGCATACAGCATGTGATCAATCACATAGTGCGCCCCGGGGCAGATAAAGGTGGCCACCGAGACGGGGAGTGTCTTGTGCGTGCTGGGGTGCTCGTAGACCGAACTAAAGTTGTGACCATGCCACTCGTGTTCCCGCAACACCCGAAAGAGCTCGGCGTCTGCTCCTGTATTGCAATCGCCGCAGACCAAGAGAGCGGCACCGGGTGCTTCCGATGCGGCGTATGCCAGCGCCGAGTTCATTTGCCTGGCACGTCGGTCAAAGCCAACGTCGCTCTGAGAAGATTCCAAGTGCACATTGACAATGCATACTTGTCCCACCTTATCTTCCGTCATATCCAGGACGGTACATAAAGTGCGAGAAAAGGAAGCTTGCTGCACCAGTTGGAATATGGTGCTCTTCCAAAACGTGGCATTTCCACACGGTTGATCTGCCGCCTTTTTCTTGGGTTGTTGCATCATCCCTTCGTACCCTCTTCGTTGCAATTCCGGCAACATGTCGGTCTCAAATTTGACATAGTCTAATTCTTGAACCGCCAGAACATCCGGGTCCAATTGCTCCATCCATTGCAGCAGCCTTTGGAATCGGAACGACCAATCGCCGTGTTCCGGATGTGTGTGATCGTACTCGCCGTCTTTCTTTCCCTGTTCCCACCACGTGTTGGAAAGGATATTCCAAGACACCACCGACAGGTGTTTGTCGTTGTCGTCGTCGTCGCAGGCAGCTTGCCTCCATTCGTTGCGCCCTCTACAAATCACAATTTCGTCCTCCTTTTGGGAATGTTGGGCGGCCCATTTGTGCCATCCAGGCACCACTCCGTCCGCTTCACGATACCTCCCGACGACCCTGGGCTCGCCCTTTTGGGCGGCCATTTGCAATAGTTTTTCTGCTGTGTGCGCCATGGTTGTTTTGCTTCTTTTTGTTTGCGATCCAGGTGCTTTTGTGAGATCCTTTTTGGGGTGGGGAGAGATCTCAGTCTCAAACTTGGGCGCTGTGGGTTGCCCCGTTTGGAAAATTATCCTTGACTGACTTCTTGATGACGCTGATGCATTCTACAGCCACGCCTTCCACCTTCCACTCGTTCACGAAGGCTTGCTCTTGGTGGTAAAAGAAAGCACCTTGTACCGGTATACCGTACTAGTACCTGGTATTATTAATAATACCGTAGTACCAGTAATAAGTGCTGGTACCAGATCATAGTTGAGAAGACTTAAAGGCTGCCGGACGAATGACGATTCGAGTCGTGGATAAATCAGATCCTAATCAATTTTTGGAGCTATCCTAATCAATTTTTGGAGCGGCTCCAAAAATTGATTAGGATAGCTCCAAAAATTGATTAGGATTCTGATTTATCCACGACTCGAATCGAATCGTCATTCACTCCAAGGAATATCCCAGCGAAATTTTAAAAAATGCCAAAACAAGATGACGCCAAGGCGAGGGCATACATGTCGTTGTCACCTCGTACGTGTTCGCTTGGTCAACCACAATCCCAAGCATCAGGAGAAAAGTTTCCAAGAAAAGCAGCACACACACTCCTACCAATACTGCAGCAACAGCAGATGATGCATATATAGATACATAGATAGTTTGATAGTTAGATGATAGACCATGGTGATTGGAAGTATCGTTTGGCCCTGCTTGGTCTTTACGGCTTTTTGATCGAACTGAAACCGAGTGAAGCGTACCTGAATCCTTACTTGGTTCATGACAAGGGCTTTAGCAACAGTCAATTGAACAATTCCATTTATCCCTTTTCGACGTATGGACAACTCTTGTTCATCCTGTTGGTCCCTGCCACTTCTCAACTCATCACACCCAAGCGCATGTTCTACATCGAGTCGTGTGGCTTTTTGTTTACGAGATGGATTCTGATACGAGGCACATCACTCTGGAGTATGCAAGCCATGCAACTGACATATGCCGTGGGGAAATCGGTCAAGGCAGTCTATTTGTGTTATATGTACCTGTTGGTGGAAAAATGTCACTATCATCAAGCCACGGGATTCGTGTGGGGAGCGCAAGCCTTGGGAATGAGTATGGCTGGATTGATTGGACAAGTACTGTTTTCTTACTGCCACTGGTCCTTGCTGGCATTGAACTATTTTTCCATGGTCAGTGTCTGCTGTGCCTTTGTCGTCTCGGTCTTTATTCCAAGTCAACAGCAATCGCAACAACTGCAACAGCAGCAGCCATTAGAACACAAAGAACAGTCACAAGATGAAATCACTCTCTTGTCCACAGAATTGTCACAAAAATCATCCACAAACACCGAAGACGATGAGGGGCAAGACGTCCAGTGCTATCAGGCAGTATCACCAGTATCGATAGAGCAGCCATGCCAAGTCAACAATAAGCAACCAGAAGCAGCAGAAGGCTGCTGCTGGGCGAAAATCTGGGCGGAATACCGCACCGTCTTGGAACTGTTTCGCGATCATCGGGGTCCATGGGCTACTACCTGGATTTTGGCACGGTGCTGTGAAGAGCTCATGCAAAACTACGCGCAAGTCCTCTGGACCCAACGAGCCATCAACAACAATCACCACAGCAGCAGCAGTTATTCCCTTTACGGAACCATCTGCGCGGCATACATGGGCGCGGGAGTCGCGGCATCCTTGCTACCCGTATATTATAATCTGAAACAACAACAACAACGAACGTGGATGATTCAAACTGTTTCGGTGGTGGGGTTGTGTACGACCATGATCCTCATGACATGGATTGAGCGTTTATCGGTCGCGTATGTCACATATGTGCTCTACGGAGCCTGTTACTATGCGTTCATGACGTGCACGTCTTGTCAATTGGCATCCCACTCTTCCGTCAAGGAACAAGTCCTACTCTATGCTGCCAATTTGTTTTGTGCGTCGGCTTTGGCGACCATGGTTACCGCAGTCTTGTCGAGTATGAACGCAACTACTCAAACATGGTTCTGGACCATAACAGCCTTGCAACTTGTGCTCTTGCCACTGTTTCTACTGTCTTCGAGTACGAGTAGATAGAGATGATAACTAGAAACAACATACAATGCTGTCTGGATTGTCACGAAACAAAGCTGCGTACCAGTCAAAAAGCTGCTATATTGTACAACTACAATTGAGTTCTGTATTGTTGGGACAGCCTTTCGCAGTGAAGCGAAGAGTCTCGCTGATTCAAGTCTCGCTGGTGCTGGCATGGACGGCAAAGTCCTCCAACAAAGACGCATTTTCTTGTACCACATCCCACCACCGCAAGGGTCGTCCCACAACTCGTTCCACGTACTCCATCCAGTACTCCTCGAACACCAAGTTCCGGTTGACCCTTGGTCGGGCGGGTAGCTTGGCCTCTAGATCCGTCACATTCCAGTTGGCGTTGGAAAAGATTACGGGTCCTTCGTTCAAATGTCGAAACAAAAACGGATCCAGTTCGGTAATTGGCATGGCTCCCAGACCCAGTGATTCGTAATGACGATGACAATCAGGATGATCACCATCGGGGGATAACACATAGTCCGATTGTGCAATCGATCGTAGGTAGCTGTGATAGTCTAGATTCTGCCCCGACGATGGAATTGCCTTGCGTCTGTCGTTGGTATGCCGCAGAAAGCCTACAAAGACACCCGTCGTCTTGTTGGGAGGTTGTTGCAGTGTTTCCATAAAGATTTCACGATATGTTTGAATGGGAGCGCGATAGGTTCCAATGCGGGCGCCCGGCATGTTGGGTTTGAGCCCTAAAGGGAATGGACTCACTTTGGGATGTCGTTCCTGGCCTCCCGTGTAGTTGCCAATGTTGTTGCCAAACCAATGAAGGAGTTTGGGGTGTTCCACAATGTTGCTGGAAATGCTGTGAATCCAATCGGGATACAGGACATGCCAACCTTCGGTAATCAAGACAAATTCTTGCTCAATGTGCGGGAGAAAGTTGTGTGTAAACTCTGGCATTTTGATGTACGATACGAAAATGGTGTCATTGGCCCCGATCTTGTGGATGGCATCGTCCTTTCCATACACCCACTTGTCCTTGGGCATTGCATTCCAAGTGAGGAATTTCCCGCCAATTTGTTCCTCTCCCGCGTAAATCCACGTAGAAATGGTCTGTCCACTCCAGCAGTTGATGATGTTGAGACCACGATCTACATTGAGCTGAATATTGTTGGAAAATCGACGTGGATTATGAAATATCAGTGCATCGTGATCGCTACTGTTTCCTATGAAACCCAGATCGGTGGCGGGAGAAGGTAGGGACATGGCCAAGTCTTCGAAAGCCTCCTTGATCCTTAACAATCGGTGTTCATGGCCGCTGCTGCCCATGTACTGAAGCAACATTGACAACAGAATAGATGAAGCTGCCAAGAATCGCAGAGACCGCCTAGTTTTGGCAGCGTTTGCTTTTGTCGCAGCAACTTCCATGGTAAAGATAGATGGTGCTTTCTAAAGAATGGCTTCTTGTGGAGGTGTGTACAGCTGGCCTTGTTCCTGCCAAGCCTGGCACGGTATCAAGCGTTAGGTCTTTTATGGCGGTCGGAAGGGAATGTCAAGTACTAGTTACATTGGTGTAATAACTTTTTAGCGGAATCAAACCTCGGACAGAACGAGGGAGCTGTCCGACACCACTAGCTAGTACGCTGCATGTACAATGGCTGCTTCGAAAATTGCGTTTTGTGCGTTGGAAAGAGAATTTTGTGAGGGTGGAGGAAGGCTCCCAAGACCGCCGGGCTTCCAACAAGAGTTTGGACCCACACTTGACTTGATCTTATCACGCTCCTCGGGGTTCCACGGCTGCCTGGCTCCCGGTCATATCAGTTCAATTTTCGCTCATTGTTGATGCAAGCCACGGTTGCATCCGGTGGTGTGTAACAGTAGAGAGCCATGGTCTGGCACAATGAAATCAATGGGGTTCCTTTCCCCATGCTTTGAAGAGCACTCGATCGAATTGGCTGCCCTGGAACGGCCCCCAACCGATTTTGCCATCAAGCAACGGTAGATCTGCATTCAGTTTCTGCTACCAGTAACTACATGCTGTATCCCTCCGTTGTCCGTCCTGGCTGGGAGCTCCTTGGTTGCAGAGCATGTTTCCTTGTCAGGGTCCGAGCTGAAACTGTCGTCGCCTCCTTTCGACAGGTCCTACCGGTACCATGATTCTGGATGCGATTGCAACCTTCTCTGCTACTCTTGTTCTTCATTTGTGCGTAGCAAAGGGTTTACGTAACCAAGCAATCGAGCTGGCAATCTAGTTGGCCAGCCAACAGCAACCGAGCTTGCCAGACGACAGGACTTCCTCAGAGCAATTGAGCGCCGAACCTGAGAGAAGACTCTCCCTTGTGTTTGGGGTGGCTTGGCCCTCAGTGGCTGCTTCTTTTGATTGTTCGCTTCATCTTTCGCAAAATTGCTGAACTGAAAACACTCCCGAGGGACGATACCCGTACGCTGTGCTAGTACTGATTGGATACTAAAAATATTGTCACGAAGAAGCCTGCAGTTGTGCGCTGCCGCTCCCCAGCCAACGTCCACTTTAAAAAGCTTGCCATAAAACAAAAAAAGCAGTTTCAATGCAATACTGTAGTCTACAATTTTCAATCTAAACTATTGATGCAGCTCACTGATCGGACAAGCAACATCTCGCTCCAAGCCATGTGAGTTGAGGTCGGCATCGTCTTTTGCCTGGGTGCAACCACTACTGACGAGTGGTTGCTTTTTGTCTCATCATCCAGGCAGCCCAGTGGTCATGTTGTCATAGTAATCATGCGTCGTTGTTGTCTTCCTCAATTTCTGCCACGATATTGCTGGCAACATCGACCAACAGTTTCACGAGCCCCCCCAACAGGACTGCTCCTCCCGCATAAACGTACCAGGGTTGTACGCCGTCACCTCCAACGGTCAATGCCTTTCCAACGACGCCCGTGTAAACGTACGCCAATGTGCCCGGTGCAAATCCCAGCAGTGTCCCCCAAAAGAAGGAGGCAAAATCAATACTGGTGGCACCATACAGGTAGTTGGAAAGGGCAAAGGGGAAGAGTGGTGATAATCTCAACAAGAGCATCAATTTGAATCCTTCCTTTCCAATGGCCTTGTCCATTTTGGCAAATTTGGGTGTCTCTTGCATCCATTGTTCCACCGTGGTACGCAGCAGTGTCCGGCCAATGACAAAACTAATCGACGCGGCAATGCTGGCACTGACGAGCACCACCAATGTTCCGGTGGAGACTCCAAAGAGGTATCCTGCCGACGCCGTGAGTGGGATTGCCGGAATGGCCAGTACTTCGGCAATGGTGTACATGAGTCCAAAATACAAGGGGCCGGCAGGGCCCATGCCCGCCACCAAATCCGTGACCTGTTCCAAGGCAGCGGTCGGATCTTGAAAAAATTGTCCCACGGCATCCGAGATATCCGCGGCGGGGCTGTATGTTGGGTTGTCATATTAGTATGTATTGCGTGAGCATCAGAACAGAACATGAAAAACAGTGTCAGACAAGTCGACTCTGATACTATGAATGTACGGTATGTCACATTCCATCCAACCAGAAAACGATAGAAGAAAGGTATCAATCAAGAGACTTGACACCAATCAATCGTACTGTACCGTACTGCACTGCACTTACAGAATTCCAGTCATGCCGGCTCCTACAGCCAACGCTGCCAATGCCGTCACGATGGGCACGAGATTGTCGGTTATGGCCTTGCTGTTGTTGTTGTCGTCTAGGCGGTCGACCAAGTTTCCCATGGACTGATTCGTTCCCTCGGTGGTATCTTGTGGAAAGAAAAACGCAAAGGGGCTGTCGCTACTACCACTCGTTCCTGGTGTCTCAAAATCCGACGCTTGAATCATGGTCTTGCTTTCTTGTGTCTGTTCCAGTTCTGCTTCCGTCATGAATGGGATCTGCCACTTGTTGCCCACATGCCGCAGAGTCAAAAGATTTCGGGCTCTTGGTTGGATTGTGTTGGGTGCAAAAGCACCTGCCGCCGACAATGCAAGGCTAAGAACCAGCAAACGCTGCTGGTGTCGTCTGTTGTGTGATGAGTGATAATACACCATGGTCTTGATTATTGGTTTACTTGACTGGGACGATGGGATGAACGGTACGTGGGTGTTACAGTGTAGCAAGAAAATAGCCAAATTGCAAAAGAGTGCGAAAAGAAAAGAAAGAATTCGATTCCGCAAACTCATCAGCTCACAAAAACCAAAAACACACACTAGCAACCAACGCATAAAAGCTGACCAAGTCGGATCTGAAACCATCATCCTCGTCCAACAGAAGTTCCAGAACACATCACAGATTCGATTCAACAGGTGGATGTCTACGTGTCCTCAAAACGGACGTTGGTGGGAGATGATGATGCAGTGTTGGGGACCAAAGGAGGTGTCCAAAGTGGGGGCAATTGAACTCGCCACGTCAGCGAATCTGGCTCTTCAACCGTCACTCATTTTATTAAAAAGCTAATGTCACACCACTACTCAAGAGATTAATTACTATGATATGTTTTGATAGTAACGACTTATCCCTTTGCTTACTGTACTGGTAGTAGACTAGGTCTGAGGTTTGGAATGTTGAGGTAGATGCGGTAAAGCTTAAACACTTGATTTACCTCAACTACTATTCTAAAGCCTGATGCCTCCACAAAGATCCGTCATTCAAGCAAGATGATGATGCTGCCACAAATCTGTCACCAATCCAACAATTCAACAAGTAACAAAACAAGACACTTCGAATCTTCAATCTGTCAAATACTAGCTCTAGCTAGCTAGTTCTGGGACAGTAGACAAATAATAATATATGAAACCAAGAAGTCATGAAGCAGCTTATTAGCTTGGCTTGGTTATTCTGCTTGCTCCTTGGTTGCAGCCAAGTCAACACAGTCTCTGCCTTTGTGGTGGTTCCATACCGGAACAAGAGCAACGGGAATTGCTGTAGCAGATTCTGTGGCCATGCAACCACCAGCACTATCCGAGGATGTAGTAACAATAATCCACCAACATGGCTGAAATTATCCTCCAAACAAGAAAATGATGATGAGATGGAAGAAGAACAACCCACGAAAAAGAGAAGCCGCATAAGACGGATTGTCACATTTCCCTATCGACGCATCCAAAAATTACTGGCCAAAAGACGGGCAGCAAAAGCAGAACAGCGATCGACAACTGCAGCAACAACAACAGAATTGGTCAATGGAGAAAGAGAAGGAGATTCCAAGGCAATCCCAATATCTCTGCAAACAGCAGAAGAAGATACCCCAACCAGTTCTGTAGTAGAGATCAGTTTTTCGGATGGGTCCGAAACCCACGAGGATGCCGAGACAGAATCTACATCAGAGGTGACAGAATCTACATTAGAGGTGACAGAACCGGTGGATCAAGTCAATGGTTTTTCTGCTACCATCAGCAGCAGTGAGGCTCTGGAAGAGGAGACCGAAACAGAAACATCTGATGCCGACACCACTGCTGAAACAGCTGCTGAAACCAGCACTTCTGACGACAATAACGACAATGTTAAAAAATGGGCCACAGCCGCTCCTTCCGTCGATTTGACGGGAGATTGGGAACTCCTCATCACGGACGAATTCAAAAGAGAGTACGACGACTATCTACGACTTTTAGATCAACCGGCATTTGTTCGATCCGTCGCATTGTCCATTGTGGGATTGACCACGGAAGAAACCATTCAAAAGGACGGAGGACGCAATCTCTTTATCAGAGGACGAAATGTCCGTGGTGTATGGGAACGTACACTCTCCTCCACGGGCGACACGGAAGAATCCTACATTATTACCACGGCCGACAATGAACAAGTACAGGCGGAATCATGGTGGGAAGACGCTGGCACCAAGCATCGATCCTGGTTGCGGGGGGTTTCCAACTACGGTGGTGGTTCCTTTGAAAGTCTACGGTATTTGGAAACAGCACCCAACAAGGACACAACAGAACCGCCACGAAAAGTACTGGTGTGCGAATCCACCTTTCATCCCGATGATACAACCCGAGAAAAGGCACATGTCACTTGGAGATTTCAACGGAAACAACCATGAAAACAAGATGGCAGCAGGAGTTTAAAATCATAGTAGTAGAAGTAAAGAGAGCTCCTTTAACTAGCTAGCACTGCAACCATATTAGGTCCAGATCTTCCGACATCAAGAGATATGCTTGCAGCTGTGCTCACTACGGGTAACGGTAACACGCGGAGTAATGCTTCGACTTGAAAAGAAAAGTGGAACGTTTTGCCAAGTACATCTAGCTACAGAGTTAAAGTCTCCACATAGCATGTAACTATTTGTATCCAAACATCCCCAAGTTAGCTGCCTTTCCACTCCATGAATCATTGGGACCACCGGAACAAACCATCTGTCAAATCATGATCGATGGACCCATTCCCAAGTGCTTGTTGAATTTTTTGGAAATAAGCATTTTGATTATTCGACCCCGCCTTGCATACTTGTGCCAAAGACTAGCTACAGTACCGGTAAGGGTTGGGCGGCTTCAAAGTGAGCTTGCAGGTACCAGTACCCTGGCGACAACGTATCTCAAAGACGTCATGGCAATCAGCACAGATTTCCTTCGAGCACTCTGAGCAAGCATAGATCTTGCTGCACCGTGGACAGGAAACTATCTCGCATTCTGCGCACTGGAACTTCTCTCCATGAGATCCCTTGCCACATGCTTCGCAGCGAAAGTATTCTTCATGGCAAGAACAATGATGATCTTGACAGGCAGAGCAAAAAGTGCCCTTATCACAGGAGTTGCATAAAGCAACCGTACACAGGTCACAACAAAAATATTCCTTGCAATCGTGGCAATACCTTTTGGAGCAAACTGCGCAGCAAAAGCTGGTGTCAAAGCTGCATTCATTGCAACCATGCAGCTGGCCACATTCGTCACACTTGACCGGTTCAAAACACTCTTTGCAATAACCATCTCCGCATGTAGTGCAGGACCATGACTCCCCACAAGATTTGCAGTAATAATCATTACAAGACACACATAAGCGATGATCTTGGCAATCACGACAGAATGACGTGTCACATTCATCACAATGGAACCCAATCTCGTTGAAACACTCAAGGCACTCATAGTTGTCACAATCAAAGCACTCCAGGAAATTTTCTTGGCCGCCACAACATCTGCCAGGACAGAAACCAAGTCCGCAGTGGCAATGCTCGATTTCTTTACCGGTACAGCCTTCTCTTCCACAGTGCATCTCTTGGCAGGCATTGCAAAACCCCATAGAGCTCAAATGGTAGCAAGATTGACACTCCTTATGCTGACAATCATGGCATTGATATCGAGACACTTCAGCCATGCTTTCAAATTGCTCACAACGACTGCAGCGCTCGCGATCAAATTCAGCCTCAACACAGTCTGCGCACTCAATGTGGACCACACTGGTCCTACTAGCATTTTTGCTGTCCATTTTCTCTGCGATCCCGTTGCCAATGTTCGCCTTGACTTCAGCTTTCTCATCATAGCCTTCAGCCGCAACAGTTTCAGTTTCATTGGCGCTATTCTGATCCTCATCGCCGCTATTTTGATCCTCATCGTCACCTTGATGATCATCGCTTTCTTCCATGTCTTCCAGGTCTCTTCGACGATCCACCTGGGATTCCAGTTTAGAACCATGTATACTACAGTAGTAGCTCTTTAGATCAAAATGCTTGGATAGATCCTCTACTGCCAGGCAACTGAGGATGCTGTCACGGTCCAAAAATCCCAGCACTTGCTCTGCCATGACATGACTCGTGAGGCCAGTGTTGAGGGCATTGCTCTTGGTGCGACAGTTCTGGTCAGATGCCATGTTCAATTTCGGTTTGGGGAATCAGATACTGCTAGCTAGCTAGCAGTATCAGTGGAGGAATAATGGATCAGTAAGCTCTTCCACACAGAGGACAAGGTCTCACAGTGCAGCGCGGCTGGTGGCTGTTGATATCTTGATGATATCATACATATCTTTCGCCGTCGTTGCGTTTAGCCAGCAAGGCGGAATTGTCACTCACAAGCATGCAGTCACTTTGAGTAATGGTGTTTGGTGTTTGTTGTCGCCAGGGTTCCTTCGTTCATCGTTTCGACCATCGTCAAAGGGAAGTACAATAACCTGGACTCGCCTCCTATCAAGATGATGTTGCCTCCTCCTATTTACTCTTTACAGCGGCTACTCATGCTCGACCATGAAAGGCTCCTCTTGTTTCGATCCGTAGGCTGGCAAATGACTTCTTTCTTCTTCTGTTCGACTCATCATCCACGTTCCGCGCGGGGACCTCGTTTCTCTCAAGGCCGGCATAACATGACACGAAGCCTCTGCTATCTACCACGAGCGAGTTCTGTAGAGGAACGCCCTTCCACCACGCAGTGGTGAACTGGCCCGGCCGGCTTCGACCTAAATGTCAATCCTATCGGATTTCCATTTAGGTCTCATCCGGCCGGGCTCGCTCCCGGGCAGTGAACCACATGAGGTGGAAGGGCGTATCTTCTGGAACCATGTGACAATTTCACCCCTAAGTAACCAATTGGAGTTTTCTAAATAAAGATATTTTTAGCTCACATTTTGAGTTTGAAGCCAACCAAATGGCGCCATTTTGGGCTGCAGCACGCTCCACTCCAGTTGCAAATCCGATCCAATTTGCAGCACACCGCCATTGAACAGCCACAACATCACGCAACCAACCGTCACCGTTGTGGAGTCACTAGTGGCTCCTATTGCCGACTTTACCGCTTCTCCTATTGTGGCCTTCACCGGTACCAGTCAAAGGTCACGCCATCTCCAGTCAAAAGGCTAGTTCTTTTTCCTCATTGATCTTGTTGCCTCTGGGTGGTGAGTGACCAGAGTGCCGAGTCGAGTCATCGATCGAGTTCCGTCAGTGGTGTCAGTGTCCTCTTCGCTCACGTCAGTTCCACCGCCTCTTTGTCAGCAGGTCACCATGTCAACTGGTCGCTCCACTCGCTCCAAAGGGTCCTTCCAAGATACTGGTCGATCTCTCTTCTCCCAGATTGCCTCAATAGCAGAAGCCACTGCCAATGGCAATGAAAGAGCATTGTTGGCGGTACAGGAAGAATTTGATGGGGCCGAAGATGACGAAGAGATTGTCGAATTTACTCAACACAACAGTCAAGGAACTGTACACTGGAGTCAAGCCACTGGTGAACTTACCGTGCAGGGTAAGGCCGACGCTGAAGACGAATTCAATTTACCCCCTCCAGATGACTCTTCGGATTCTAGCGAGGACGAAGACGAAGACGACCGTGGCTCTGGAAGCGAAGATGGCTCTCCCTTGCAACTCGCTCAACTCTCTGCCGTTTCTCCAGACGACACCTCCAACAAGGAAAACTGCCATACCTTCTCTCAAGTCGAAAATGCCAGCCTCCTTCTCCAATTTCGACCTCCAGCCGCCGCGGCACCAGCCAATCCCCCACCGCCGCTCCCAGCCGATCCAAAGCAAGCGCGGAAAATGAGACTCCGATCGGCCCACCAAGAGCAGCAAGAGTCGAACCGTGCCGCCGCCCTTCATTCGTTTGACGATCGTTGGGAGAAACAAGATCGGGCTTTTGGCGAATCGGGTGAATGTATCACCAATTTCGACACGGAACCAAAAGACGATCCTCCAGGTCAGGTAGACGACACGCCAGAGCGGGACGAGGAACAGGACGAGGATGACGCTCATTCCACTGTAGCCTCCACCGTTGGATCTCGTGGTAGCAAACGCAAAAGAGGCAAACACAAGAAATCGCCCCGTCGCACCACCCATGAAGGAACTGGTTGTCCACTCGTAGGAAATGCTGGTGCCATCGTGCCTCATCCGGAGCACCACCGTCAAAATCATCCTCTTGTGACAGGGACCGCCAAGAAACCGGGGCCGAACCCATACCAAAAGAAGTCGAAGTCTGTCGCTCGTCCCCTTCCAACCAAACAAACTCGATCTCAATCCAAGGCTCCACCGAATCCCGCTCCACTTTGTTCTCCCGCGCTTGAAGAATTTGCCCTTCCCGCAAGTACTCAAGAAGAAAGCGAGAGTCTAGAAGAGATCTGCCGCCTGATGAATCAGTCCACCGAAGATTTTGGAGACGAACAAGATCTGGTTGACAACTGTAAGCGTGGCAGCAACACCCAGGCACGTGAAGCGCGGAAGTTGGCTTGTGTCAAACGGATGGAAGATACTCTGAAGGATTCGAACCAAGACTGGTCCCGGCGGCTCTTGGTCAAAGTCAACTGTCGATACCTCCAAGCCAAGGGAGATTTTGTCGCGTTGGATTACGTCTTGTATGACTATCTGGAAGGCGAAAAGACTCCTTGGAAGCGTAGCTTGATGAACCGCATCATCACACTTTGTGGCGTCAAGTGGAAGAAGAAGTCGGCCGGTGTCATTGGCGGTGAAGTAGGCGGTGAACTCCAACCAGGCTCTCTCATGAAGACCATCCGTGACCTCTTGTGCAAGCTCCGCGAACGGAACATTGATTACGACGTCAAAGAGTTCTCCGGAGTTGGTGAATTCAATGGAGTTGTCACAGACAAGATGCAGCGCCATTACAAGGAGGATCATAGCTATGGAACCTTGCCCAACCAGAAGCGTGCTCCCAAAGATTACATCGTTCTTTTGATGCAAGCAATCCAGAACAAGAAACTCGATCCTGAAAACAATCTCGATCATTTGGTCTTCGTCGTCATCTTTTGTCTTGGATATTATTGTGCTTTCCGTGGCGGGGAGGATCATTCGGGGTTGCACATCAACGATATTGGCTTCGGTTTCTTCAACGCAGAGTATGGTGGCTGGGAAGGCCGCGAGTATGTTTGGGTAAACATCTGCGCCAGCAAGGCCACAAAGTTGAGCACCAAATATCCGCACATCAAACCTAACCAGCGCACCAAGCTCTTCATTCCAGATGATCATGACTTGAAAGGTTGGACTCCTGTCCGATACTTCAAATTGTACCTGTCGTACACCCACCCGGAAGCCAGACATTGTCAGCGACAAAACACGAACCATAAGCCACTGCGCTGAATGAAGGATCGGGACTCTGCATTTCGGTGAAGTCCGCTTCTATCATGCTGGCAATGGCACCGCTCAGCACAACCTCAGTCCCGCTTCCATCGTCCGGAAATGCAAGGCTTTGGCAAAGTTGATTGGCATTGAGGACTACGAATCCTGCACCGGTCATGCCCTTCGGGCATTGGCCATAACCGAAGCTGTTTCCGCTGACTTGAACTCCAATGAAGTTGCAAACATGGCTCGTCAAAAGAGCACCACTGTTCAAACAGAGTATGTGCACGGTGCCACCGCGTCTCGTGTCTCCAATCAGATCAGTGCCGTCAGCATTGCCAATGTCATGAAACGGAGTAATGCCACCGATGTGGTTGAAGTGGTTGACTCCAAGCCTGCCGCACGCGCTTCCTCCGGTCCCAACGACAATGAGTCGAATGAAGTCGAAGTGCAACGGTTGCGAGCAGAGAATGCCGAGATGAAACTCAAGATGCTTGAACAGCAACAGCAATCTGCGAGTGCCATGGCTCCACTTTCTGCTGCTTCCTTGCCCAATCAGCAACCGTATGCTCCACCACCGGCTTCCTATCCGGCTCCACCACAGGCGATGTATCAGGGTCCACCGTCGATTCCATATCCGGCAAATTATCCTCCTCCGCTTCCTGCGTACCAGCCCAATCCGTATCAGCAAAACCCATATGGGTATCAACCGTTGCCTGGATACCAGCATTACTATAGCGGTGGGTATCAATCATTTGGACCTCCAAATGGGTATCTTCAAATTGATCATCGGGGATCATATCCTGCCGGACCACCCTTGGAGCCTCGTCCATCGTATCAGCAAGGATCGCCACTGGATCATCGGGGATCATTTCCTCCACCGGAGCATCGAGGATATCAGCAAGTACTTCCACTGGATCCCAGGGGATCGCTTCCTCCACCGGATCATTGTGGATATCAGCAAGGGCCACCACCGGTTCAGCGATTCCGTTCGCCAGTACCTCCGTCCAATCATGTCTCACCTTCTGATCATCGTGGACGTTCTCCAATTCCTCCGGGCCATCGCAATATGCCCCCGCCTGAACATCGAACTCCACCCCGTCAAAGAAACGTCCAATCAAATCCATCCGGGCACTGGCAAGGTCATGGTCATGGTTAGGGATACGGTGGAGACTATCGGCATTATCAAGGTTGATGCGCCATTGTCGAAGGTCGTTGTGTTTAATTCCATTGAAGATTGAATCGATTCAGATACAGAAAATGCAAGGCTTTCGCTTTTTGGTTTTTGTCGGTGGAAATTATGAGAGCTGAAGTGAGGAATGGTTGGAGTTGTTTTCAGTCGATATCTTGATTTCAGCTGCCTTCGCGTTTGCGTCAGAGCAGTTTCTCCTCTCTTAAGCTTCCGTTGGCTAAGAACCCCCGTCCCCAGCATAAAAGGTTGTTGTTCAATTTCTCTTATAACCAAATATCATAGAAACAATTTCAGAAATTGAACAACCTTTGTTTTAGCTGAAAGATATGGTTTAGTCTTTCATTCCCACAAACTTTTCAACGCTCTCCAAATTCGACACACACTCAATGAAATCTTCTTCCCGGAAGATCAATCCAATCGTACGAGTTGAACAAATCTATATTCTTTCTTTACGGAGATTGTTGCTGTCCCGAAAAACAGTACAGACTTATTGATCTGTATGCAACCGGTACCGGGATCAGCACTATTTCTGCTAAAATAGAAAAATAGGTTGTATCGTGGTTGACTCCCTCTCAACGTTGAGTATCGACCGAATTTTCTTAATACTGAAAATGTGAGCGTTGAGAGGTCATGCCATTCCACTGTTTGCAGCCAAATTTGCGTCGATGAATAGAGTACTAAAATTACTATAGTGAAAACAGTCGTGTTTGCTTCTCAACTTCAACCTGTCGTAGAATTACTACTAGAGGCTACACGAATTCTCCAAAATAATTGGAGCATGGTTCCTTACGCTGTGGTGGTTCCTCTTTTGCTTGGAAGTGGCCTCTGACAATCAACCACCTCTCACACTTGTACTTTTACCGAGGGTTTGGCCGTTTTCCGTTGGCGGTTGACCGTTGACAATGGCGCTGATGACCGTTCGTTCCTCCTCAAGAAAGTCGGATTAGATTCTCCTGGAGCGGAACGTAAGCTGTTGGGGGTGTAGCCAATTAAGGTTCCTCTGATTCTCGGCCAGTGCTCGCTCTTGGACAGTGAAGGTTGGTTGGTTCGTCCTCGTGGAAGGTAAAGTCGGTTCTTCTGTTTGGCGGGTCGCTCGCGTCTCACCTTCTCGTCTCTTCCTCGTAGGTCTGTTGGCCGTTGACAATGGTGGTTTGGTCATTCGTGTTCGAGTCGAGTCTCATCCACAAGAGATACGGTACAGTACGGCCCACGAGTCGAGTCTTCGTATGCATGCATAGTACATGTAGTTCTTTGCTCTCTTCGGAACTCCACGAGGCCAGGTCGAATACAACCCGCGAAGAAAACGTGCCTAACTACTTCTGATAATATTGTGACACTACATCCCATTAGAGTGTCTTCCTATTTTGCCGTGCTGGCTGGCTAGCTAGACTAAGTAAGCTCTGAATACAATCCAACCCGACAGAATCGAAGCAATTGCACCACACGACAATGTACCCCCTGACATTTTTCTCTTTCAGTTCCCCTCCTCGTCGAGATAGTCCTTGTACGTGGGACGTGTGCTCTTTTCTCTTCCACGACCACCCTTGAGCACCTTTTTCTTCTTCATAGGAAACGTTTGATGGAACTGCTCCAATGCTGGCATGGCACGCTCCAGGATATCCGCGGGAAGTGTCATGGGATGGTTGGGATCATTCTTGCGTACGAACACCAGTTCATCCTTGTTTTTTCGAACCGCCCGCTGGAGAATGGTTTTGAAAAAGGAAGTCTGATACGGAGAGGCAATCTTGTCACTGGCGAGCACATCGTCTGGGAGCATCATTGCATCAATGAGTTCCTCGCATGCCTTTTCTTGCTTCTTTTGCTTCTTGGAAGATTGGCTCTTGTTGTTGTTGTTGTTGTTGCTGTAGCTGTTTTCGTTGGATTCATCATCAATATCTGGACTACCCAAAAAGGGCTCGAACGATGGCATTTGGTAGTTGGCAAGATCGTGCTCAAAGGGAAGTTTGAACAGTAACATGCGCGTTGGCTTGTGGTTGCTTGGTTCCGAGGACGACGACTCTGACGATTCTATGAATGGCAGCAAGCAGGCCAAGGATGGACTCCCCGTGGACGAAGCCTTGAACGCACACAATGCCGCCATGTTTTCGGTTTGCAGCGACTGTGCCATGGCCGCCACCAGATAGCATGCTTTGCGTGAGTGCCAACCCGAAATGGCATAGGGAGGGCCCACCCAGAAGCGCGGAGGGATTTCGTTTTGCCGAATATAGCCAATGATGTGAATGTACGGTTTGGCCATGTCAAATGTCTCATCTTCGTAGCCACAATCTTCTTCAAACTTGAGCCCCAACTTGACCACATCGGGATACGGTATCAAATCCTTGCCGTAGGGAATCGCATTAATGAGATCTTCCTTGTCGATCTCTACAAGGTTGTCTTCTTCTGCTCCCGTCTCTGGATCCTTTTTATCGTCGGCGTTGTTGTTATTGTTGTCATCACCATCTTCAGGAGGAGCAATCTTTTCAAAGTAATTGCCCCGAATGGTTTTCAGAAATTCCGTCTCTTCTTCTTCCTCTCCACTATTCGTATCAATAAGGAGAGGAGTGACTCCATCCGGTCCTACTTTGACGGCTCGTTCAATGATTTTGGGACTAGATTCTTGATTGAGTAGTCGAAGTGAACGGACCTGCAGTGTCAATCCAGGCCCAACATGTAGCTGCACTTGTTTGGGTGCTGCCTTGGCAATTCGTTTTCCCGCCTTGGCATCCAACAATTCTTGCATGGTGGCAATATTGACGACACTTCCGCCGGTCATTTTGGTCAAACTCGCCAGGAGGCGTTCTCGATCGTCGAGTGTATTGTAAAATGTGGGTGTATCATTGTCATTGTTGTCATTGTTGTTGTCATTGTTTTGACTGGAGGGTGGTTCATCGGGCATGGGTTCCTCTTGTTCCGATTTGATTCGTTTGTTGTTTGGAGAGTCTTGTTCCTCTTCTTGCTTGATGGCAGCACTTGCATCCAGCGGTACATCGAATTCTACCGTGGGTTGTCCAAACCCCAATCCCAGCACATGAATGGGCGTTTCATCCATTTGTCGTAGGGCATCAATAATGTGTAATATTTGAGATTGATCCAAGACAATGGGATGTCCAGCATCCGTGAGTAGAACAATTTTGCGTCGAAATCGTTTGGGTTGTTTGGTTTTCGGCGAGACGGTGGCATGGTAGAGACAATCCGCCGCGAGACAAATGGCATCGCAAATGTCTCCTCTCAAATTTAAAGCTGCGTCTAAATAAGGTGTGGGTTGAACATCCCATAGTTTGCGAATCAATTCCGACGTAGGTGGATACATGTATTCCATACTGTGGGGTTTGTCGAGAGGTGGTTCGTGGAGTTCGGTCAAATTGGAAAATGGTTGATTATTGTCATTGTCATTGTCGTCATTGTCGTATACCAAATGATTCTGTGTGTCGAGTGTCTTGGTGACAATGACAGTGACGAGACTTCCCCCGTAGGCATTGATCATCATGTCAAAGAGCATCCCCTCTAAAGCTCGTTTGGCGCAATCCAATCGACTATTATTGTCATGAGCAGCTGTAGCATTGTTGTTTCCCTTGACGACTGGGTGAGGTTCATTCATGGTGGGAAACGAGTCCAAGATGAACACCACCGCTTCTTTCTGCGGAGGTCCTTTGGGGTTGGGCATGGTCGGGCAGATGGGCTTCACTCCAATCTTCTGATCTCTGTTTCCTCTTTACACTGTATTTGGAGCCTTATTTCAGTCGTTGCCAGGAAGGTTGTCCACAAAAAGATGATGCCATCTTTAAATCTATCTGGTTAAAATACCGGTGCCGTGGATTGAATCATTCGAGTCGTGGATCAATCGAATCCTAATTCATTTTTGGGAGCGTTTTCAAAAATTCATTAGAGCTCTTTTTTGACCTCTAATGCATTTTTGAAAACGCTCCCAAAAATTAATTAGGATTCGATTGAGCCAGGACTCGACTCGAATCGTCATACAGTATCGTCATTCACTCCAAGCAAGATCGTATCGGTGCAGAACAAGGAACACAATAGAAACCGTGTACTAATAGCTAGCAGATTTTGAATGCCTCCACGTGGAACCTTCGGAGCAAGCCTTTTTCCGAACCAACAACCCGTCCACCCACAACAGCCACAACAGCAACAGCACCACGCCAAAAGACAAAAGACCCTCTCACTCTCACTCTCACTGAACCTTCCACTCTACCTTCCATACTCTAGCTAGCTATATCAACATACGTCCACCACCATGTCCCGCCGCAACAACAACCAGAATCAGAATCAAGTCAAGAATCGTGCTCCGGCACCGATTCAGATTAGTACCGAGCAAATCCTGCGAGAAGCGGCCGATCGACAACAAGATCATATTTTAGAGCCCATTGTCAAGGTTCATGATCAAGAAGAATATCAAGCCCATTTGGCGGATCGTCGCAAACATTTCGAAGACAATATTCGGTATCGCCGAGAACATGTGGGTAACTGGGTCAAGTACGCCCGGTTTGAAGAAGACAATAAAGAATTGGAACGCGCCCGCAGTATTTTTGAACGCGCGCTCGAAGTCGAACACCGCAGTGGCGAACTCTGGTTGCGGTATGCCGATTTTGAATTGCGACAAGAATTTCTCAATCACGCCCGGAATGTATTAGACAGAGCCGTCCAAATCTTGCCCCGCATTGACTTTTTGTGGTACAAATATGTTTATGTGGAAGAACTCGTGGGCGACATTCCCAAATGCCGGGCGGTCTTTGAACGATGGATGAAATGGAAACCGCACGATTTGCCCTGGCTAGCATTTGCGCGATTTGAAACCAAACATGGGGCACCCGATCGGGCCGAACAAGTCATGCGACAGTACGTCAATGCATATCCCGGTGTCACGTCGTTTTGTCGATTTGCCAAATGGGCCGAATTTGAAGCCACACAGATCGAATTGGCGCGGACGGTATTTGAACGGGCACTGACCGAATTGGATCCGGAAGATATTCAAGAACAAGGCGCGCGTCTCTTCAAACAGTTTTCCTCGTTTGAAGAACGACAAGGAGAATACGAACGCGCCCGTGTTATTTATCAACATGCCATTTCCTTGTTGCACTTGACGCCCACGGGGGATACCGATCAAGATCAAGAAGAAGATTTAGAATTGACCAAACAGGAACGACAAAAACGAAAAGAATTGTATGATGCCTACATTGTCTTTGAAAAGAAACACGGCAATAAACAGGGAATCGAAACGGTCATTACACAAAAACAAAGAGAACAGTACCAGAAACGATTGGAAGCCAATCCATTCGACTATGATGGATGGCTCGAATGGGCCGCCATGGAACAGGAATACGAAAAACAGTGTAGCGATACTCAAACGACACAACAACGAGAACGGGTCCGAGAAACCTTTGAACGGGCCGTTTCTCATGTTCCACCGTATCCCGACGAAAAGGATCCCTGGAGACGATACATTTACGTATGGATCTACTACGCCGTATACGAAGAATTGACGTGTCAAGATGGAGATCGCGCCGCACAAGTCTATCAAGCCTGTCTATCCATGATTCCTCATGATAAATTCACGTTTGCCAAAATATGGATTCAAGCCGCCAAAGTCCACGTTCGACTCAAACAGGTCGACAAAGCACGCAAATTGTTGGGACGCGCCATTGGGACACTCTCGAAACACACGCCACAAAAAACCGCCAAAATCTTCACCGAGTACATTGCCCTCGAATTGGCATTGGGAGAAGTCGATCGCTGTCGATCGCTCTACACACAATACCTGAAAGTACTCCCGGCACAATCCTCTGCATGGACCGATTATGCCACCTTGGAACAAAATGTCGGAGAAACCGATCGGTGTCGGGCTTTGCTCGAGCTGGCCATTCAACAAGAGTCACTGGATATGCCGGAGCAAGTCTGGAAACATTACATTGATTTTGAAATTGCCGAACAGGAACATGCCAAAGCACGTAATTTGTATTCGCGACTCCTCGAAATGACCGGACATGTCAAGGTGTGGATCTCGTATGCACAATTTGAAGCCAATACACCGGATGTTTTGGAAGAATCCGCTGCAGACGAACCATTGGCGACGACGGGGTTGGAACGAGCCCGTGCCATTATGGAAAAAGCATACAATCAACTCAAACAAGAAGGATTGACGGAAGAACGCGTCCTCTTGTTGGATTCGTGGAGGGTACTCGAAAAGACACACGGAAGTCCCGCCAGTGTTGCCAAGGTCGAAGAACGACTGCCCCGTCGGATCAAACGCAAGCGTATGCGACGCGACGAACAAGGAAACGAGGAAGGATGGGAAGAGTACTTTGATTACCAATTCCCAGATGACATTGATGCCGATGCGGCCACTGCCAAATCACAAGCGAGACTCTTGGAGATGGCGGCGCAATGGAAAAAGAAGCAAAAGTTGGAGGAGAGTGATGACGACGATTCGGACGACGACGATGATGATAGTGATGATGAATGAATAAATAAGATGCTCTTTTTTTTAAAAGCTCTAGCTGTTTTTCAATCTTTACGTGCAACTTTTTGTGTGCTTGCCCCGTGGCAGCTGCTTCCTCTAAGGCCAAACTCGTTTTCACCGGAGACCTTCACTTCGGACTCCCTTTTTCTCACTCTGGCCTCGAGAAGGGCTGTTGCACTATACCTTCCTTAACCATAACGGTACGGCCTGTACCCATCCTATCAATCTCAGGATGAGTTAGCTAGATCAAGCTTGCATTTTTCAATCTCTACGTGCAAGTTTTGTGTGTGCTACTTCGTTTAATTGAAGGACGACAAACTTTTTTTCATCGGACTCTTTTTTCTCTGTTTGGATTCGAGAAAGGCTGTCGCCCAACGTTCCTTTTAAAAACATTCGGATTGGACCCATCTCAGGATGAGCTAGCTAGCTAGCTAGATCACTTTCCACTTGGCAAATCTCATTGCTAGCTACCGAACAGCTAACTTAGCTACCAGAATCTTGGTGTGGCCTCGTCTCGGGGACATCAATTCCGTCGGCAATGTCTTCGTGATGAATGGCCTGGTACATTTCTCGACTAACCGACACGAATTGCGACATGTAGGCCAGCTGTCCCTTGACCGTATCATTCAATACATCTCGTGGGAGCTTTTCCACCACGACAATGCAAGGCAAATTGTTGCTGGTCCGGACCACATTGGCTCGCAAGACGCGATACCGTCCTCCCAGTTTGCGCAAGATGCGTGTCAATTGGAGTCCTCGCAACACAAGCATGACAATCCGACCGTGATCTTTGAGCGTATACCAGGCCGTCCGGAGAAAGATTTCGTACATGGACTGCAGATCCGTGACGCTCTTTTTGTGACCCGTCTGGACACCCCAAGGTAGATTGCTCACGATGCAGTCAATGGACTTGTCCTCCGGTATGTGTTTTCGAAAGGCGCGGACATCGACGCAATAAAACTCAAACTTGCCGTTGTTGCTGCTGTTGTTGTCGCCCACCACGGCACGCGCATTCTCTCTGGCACCATCCACACTGCGCCGATTGACATCGATTCCGATACATCGCACCGTCGGTTCCACTTCCATGGCTTCCAACAAGATGGTCCCACTACCACAAAAGGGATCGAGTACGGTGTCATGTGGTTGCATATTGGCACATTGCAGCATAATGTAGGCGAGATTTGTTTTGATGGTAACCTTGTTTCGGAATCGATAGGCATGTCGTCTGGACAAATCGACCAGGTTGAGCTGTGTTCCCACCATGACATGCGTGTTGATGACATCGACCCGTATATTGACATCATAATCTTCCATCTTTGGTTTGACATTTGCAAAGTACTCGGACATGGCTCCACCAATTTCGAATTCGACATTGGGTGCTTGAAAGTTGTGTCGTTCGCCAATGCGTTCACAAGTGACACGAAAGGTAATCTTTTTCTTTTTCTTGTTTGGTTGTTGTTGTAGTGTGGGTATTCTAGCCGTGTTGCTTTCGAGACGTTGCTTGTAGAACTGATAGAGTTCCTCCCCACCCACTTGTGCCGTGTTTTCGAGCTTGGCATGTGTGACGACATCGGCCAGATCAAATCGATCGTGAAACTGCATAACGTAAATAGATGCTCGTAGTTTGAGTAGTTCTGAGGAGAGTTTCGCTTGACTAGCAGAATCGGAATCATCATTGTTGGTGTTGTTGTCGGTTGTAATTTGTGGTGATTGCAAAGTTCCAATGGCCACATATCCAGCTGCTCCCCAAGGTCTGGGAACCACAGTCCAATTGCTATTATCCTGGAAGCGAATCGACAAGAGCTGCTGTATTTCTGCCGCGGCGTATCCTTCGGCTCCAATGTTGGTCTTTGCCGTAAAGACGACGTTCATGATCTTCAGCTTATCTTGCAGTTGTTCCTCGGTCTCCCGAATATCTCCAAATACGGCTGCCGATTCGTTGCTGTCGCTTCCATGTTCTTGCTGCAATGCCAAGGATTGATTGGGATATACTTTTCCAAAGTCGTCATTGTCATCATTGTCTTGTTCATTCAGCTGAGTCATGCGTTCCAACCACTTGTCTCTTCGTTCGTGCTCTTCTTCTCCCGGTGTCTCGGCCGTTTTACAACGAAATGTCAGATTGATGCGTCCTTCTGTGACATGGTTCATTTTGGGCAGACAATGCAAATATTGCATTTGACAGATATTCTCCATAATCGTCAAAGACCCATGTGTCAAATCGATTGTCAGTCGTTCCAGACCTTGCTTGGCACGCACTTGAAACTGCCGTGTCGCTCCCAACGAAATACTGGCAATGGGAGTACTACGACCAATTTCTTCGCGATCGCAGTGCCATCCAATGCGTTGACTTCCATTTTCGTAAAAGTTGAGCAAACACACGTTGAATTTGACAGGCGCAGGCGTCTCGCCACCAGGATGATGATGGTTGTTGTACCAAGTTTCGGCTTTTTCGCAAATGGTTCGAATGGTGGTCGTAAACGGACGACGCTGGCTTTCGTCTTGGTCGGGAGCATCTCGGTATTTGTAAGTATGGCTCTCTTCTTCTTGCTCTTGTTGATGTTCTTGCTGTGGTTCTTCGTGGAGTGCCACATACCGATTGATTTTGGAAGTCTTTTCCCACGCCGTGGTCTTCCACAATTCGTCATACGCATCAGAGGCTTCTTCGGGACTTAGAAAATCTTCATCGTAGTAAACACAGGGAGTTGACAATCCTATTTCGTACTTGTCCATGGTGGTCTTCTTCTTTTACTACTCTAGTAGTATTACTTGATAATATGGACAAAAAGAAGGAGATCTTCGCTCTTTGTTTTTTCTCGAAAGTGGTGGTTGTGAGAAGATCTAGCTACTGGTAGGATCCCAAAGATATAGGTCACGGATGTCATCCAGGAACGGGACTGCATCCAACCTTCCCGCGTGGCGCATGCTACCGGTACCTACCAGGTATCGTTAAAGGACACCGGAGGTGTAATAGATATACCGGGCGAGCTGACTTAAAAGATGGGCCGGCATAGTAATATTGTTGAAGTTTGGCTGAAGGTAGTGTTATTAGATTTTCCGTCTGAGAAAGTGGCGTGTAGCTTACGGGAGCTTAGGGTGTGCAGCGTGAGACGTTAGATTTTTCCGTCTGAGAAAGAGGCGTGGTAGCTTACGGGAGTTTAGAGATGTGCAACGTGAGACGTCAGATTTTTCCGTCTGAGAAAAGTCGTGGTAGCTACGGAGTTGAGGTGTGTTGAGACGTTAGATTTTTCCATCTGAGAAAGTGGCTTGGTAGCTTACGGGAGGTGTGCAAATGTCAGGAAAATATTCAGGATCCGTTGCTATAAGAGAATGTGTAAGAAATGTGAGGGCCCATGAGGGGCTTCGATTTTAGTTAAACTCTAACCCTAAGGATAACCAACCAACCAAACCAACCACCACCACAATAAACAGGTTCAGAGATCACCGGGGTCTGCCCGGTATATTGAATGAGTTTGAATGACAGAGGAGCAATCTGTTATCCGATGCTTTTATTAGTATGCATTACATGTACATGTATAAAAGAAAGGAACTAAATCAATACTAATCATAGAGTCGGAAGTCGAGGCTAGGAGGGAGGCATCAAGAAGGAATCTTGACAAGCAAAAGATTCAATCTGATTCTTCTTTCCTTCTCGCCACTTCCGTTTTGCTTTCTTCTTGTTGTGTCTTGGCCTTCTTCGCGTTGGGCTCCAATTCGGGGTCAAACATCTCGCTGATAGTCATGCCACTGGCATCTCGTTTGCGCCCGGAAGGAGAACGGGGCGACGAGGAAGTTCCAGGTTCCAAAGGAGAAGATCTTCGACTGTTGGGTTGTTCGTTACTAGAACTGGATTTAGCATTCATCCCCGCATTGCCGCGAATGGGCGCCATCATGGCACCAGCCGCCATCGGGAACGTGCCTAACCCCATGGCGACAGCCGCGTTGTTGGCACCAGCGGACCGCTTGTTGGTTGCCGCCAAGGCCGAACTAATCAAATTGGCCCGATCCGACTTGGGAGTCGCTGCTGCTGCTGCTGCCGTCGCAAAGGGTAACCCGTGCGACATGCCTGCACCGGGGTTCTGCTGTCCCAACAAGGACCCCTGAGCGGCCAAGGATGCCAAGGCTCGATCGCGGAGGATCGCCTGTTCCTGAAGTCCTTGTTGCTGCAGTCGGAGGGCAAAGTCGGCCGTCGTGGGGTCCATGCCGTGATGATGATGATGACCCAACAGGGCTTCGTGGGGGATACCGGCCATGGGCATTCCTGTCATGCCACCTCCTGGTAGCTGCGCTAGCAGCTGACGGTTCTGCAAGGGCGTCAACACTTGCCCCGCAGGACCCGCCGCACTTGCTCCGCCGAATGCAGCCGCTCGCATCAAAGCGGCTTGCTGCGACATGGGGTCCAGGAATCCACCACCCATCATGCTATTTGCCAACATAGGATGGAGGCCACCAGGAAAGAGTCCTGCCGCGTGATGATGGTGATGATGATGGGCAGCAGCCAACGAGGCAGCAGCGTCGCTCGTTTCCTTGCCGTCGTCTTGGGGTGTTCCCACCGCGACTCCTTGGACAGCGGGGGAACGTGGCGGAGAAGCAGGAGGACGCTCTCCTTCCTTGAGAGGTTCCAACTTTCTCCTACGTCCTCCTCGTTGGGCTTCCCAGACGAATCCAACCCTGCTCAGGAGGTTGATCTTGTGCTGGTTCAAGCGAGAGGGGCGTCCCTTTTGGAAGAGCTTGTAGTCTTGGCGCTGCGGATCGATGTAGTAGGAAACAGAGAAAGTTAGTTGGATTGCTGCAAGTGGCGTGTTAGGGCAATCCTGTGTCTGCCAACTTACCTGCGCCGAGACCCAGTTGGAAAGGGAGGGATTTTCACTCCATCCCATGGGAACTTGGACGTGGCCGTAGGTGGTCTGAGGAAGCAAGTCATGCAATGATTGAATCGAATCAGAACCGGTGAGAGAGTTACAAGGTTACAACCGCCTTATCAATCACGATGACGTCTCACTCACCTTGAAGTTTTTCAATTGCTCGAAACGGTCTTCCCAGCTAACGTGCCTTGGATCGGTGGTAGACCAGTCAAAGCCAAGGTCGATCAGTTTCTGGGCCCGCTCCAGAGTCATGGGCGTAGACTCCTTCTTGCCCGATGTCAGGATTTTGTAGTGACGGCGCTGAGCGGAGACTGACGAGGTTCAGGAATGGCGCAGTTTGCAATATTAGTATCATTTAAAGAGAGGTGCGAGCGTCAGACAAAAAGAGAGTTCGCTTACCCCAAGCACCCAGCTTCCTATCCTCGGGGTATCGATTGGGAACCAAACAGTGACCGTTGGCTACACGGTATCCAAAGAACGAGAAGGGGTTAGGAGGGTGTATCGTCATTGTGATATCCATGGGTATCATGGCCAAGGTCTCTCAACTGTCTGTCTGATATCCTTCGTCTCCTCACCTACCTTCCTTGTATCTGCACAACCTCTGGTACATCTCGTTCCAGCGCTCTCCAAAGGTTCTCGCATTAGATCCAGGAGTAAACTGAGCATCAGAGGGAGGCGATTTGACAACTGTGTCTTCGGATGTCATCTTGGAAATTAGTTGTGCGAGATGGAGAGTAGCAGAAGAGCACTCTAGGAACAGCCCAACAGGGAGAATGGGCCCAACAGGGAGAATGCTTGTTGATAACCCTAGCATCCAACCGTTTCTTTTTTCATGCTGGTTCGCTGAAGGCTGGAGGGACTGGACTCAATTCTCCAAGAGCTTTTGGCCGAAAGTAACAGTGAGAATTCTCCCTGTTGGGCCATTTCTAGCACTGGTAGGCAAAAAATGTTGGTCTTCTTTGTTTTGCAATAAAGAGTTGGGGAATGAGTGTTTCTATGGTACCGAATTGCTGTTGCACCGCGGGTGAGTTGTGAGACTCTGGTGGGATGGATAGAAAGCAAGCTTAGCTGGAGATTGATTCGAAAAAGCTTCCTTTTAGTTTTGCTTTGGTTTTGGCGGCGGAAATGGCGTGACCACTGAAGAAGAACCCTTGAACAGTTCTCAAGGTAGTGTAAGCTTTTTGTTCTACGCTTTGTTCTTTCTGTGTCGTAGACGAAGGAAGGGAACCACTTCACCTTGCATTTAATGATACTGAGTTGTTCTGAGTATTACGGTACTTGTACACAGTAAGTAGTAAAGAAGTGTGGTTCTCTTTGTGTTTGTAAGTAGAATTCGACAATGGAGGCCTCCATTACTTAAGCTTACTTCACTATCACTTACCAGGTAAAACTCGAAGCTTTCTCTCTTATATCTAGAATCTCATGATTCTTTTTAGTTGTTATGGCAGAATGACTGTCGTTTGGGAGTAACCGAATAATGGTGTAGTACTATTAATATAATATCGTATCAATCGCTCGGGATTCGGGATTATGGATAATGGGCGAGTGAACGATGTTGGAATCTTTTTCAACTGGCATGACCAAGCTCATGACCACATACATCTGCAGCAACCCCGACCATCAAATTCGAGAAGGGGCTGTTAGTCGTGCAATAATGCACTTTTCGTCAGCTCCTTTGCCACTTCAAACCCATCGAAGCTTTAAAAAAGACTACTACACTCTTCTTTATAGTCAAGAACTTTACTTAAAAGAGATCTATTTAACATCAAATTTCAGTTTTCTGAGTGTCCGATGCCCGAAACAGCAAAATGTTTCAGTGAGAAAAAGCTATCATGAATGGATTGCAGCTACCTTGTATATAAGATAACCATTTCTAGTAGAGATCTTGCTAAGATTCATTCATTCCATTTGGGTCCTCTGCTATTCATTGCCGGTGTGCTCTGCAGTACTCTTTCCCTCTCTGAACAACTGATTTCGGCGATTCTGTAACCCCACAGCCCCACAGCCACGACTTTTGGTCTTACTTGGTCAATGGTTTCCATATTGTTACCCCTAGCTAATTGTACTATTCTAGCCCCCCCCCCCCCATTTCCAAACAAAGCTGTGGGGTGCAGTCCAATGGTTCAAAAGATTCTGCACCAGTGTAACGGCCGAGAGAGTCAAAAATGATAGCTCCAACCATAAAAATGGATGAAAATTAATGCTAGCTACTCAAGTAGTCGTCTACCTTTCTGAGTTAGAGCTATCTATTTGGAATAATTGAATGATTGAATCGAATGGTTCCAGCTTTTGGAACACAAAAATATTGAATGATCTTGTAACCAAGGCTTTAGCGTAATACTAAACATCTTGTGCAGCCAGTCTTGGTTGAATCAAGAAGCCTCTCAGTCCCAATCAACCCACTCTTTTAAAGCATGTCTGAAGCCGGCTTGGCAACTCCTGGCACTAATAAGCAGTGCTCGAGCACGAAACATCGCGTCTTCTATTCTTGCTTCCGGAATTTTATTCCACTTTTGATGTACCGGTACGGTACATACCGGTACAGTTGTACTCAATTATTGTACATGTATTAATAGCACCAGAGACAGGAAAGGGGAGCGAGTCGAGGGAAAGGTGCATTTTAAGTAAGTTTCAAGCAGCGGCAATCTTTTTCATTACCTTCAAGTGCCGGAAGCCTTCTTGGCTTCTTTGTGTTGTCGACAGCTTGTGGGCAAGCGGAATTTAACAACCCAGCTACTCGAGTTCGGGTTTCGACAAGGGTTCAGTGTTCAGTGCTCGCTTTTCTGGTGTCTGGAAGGTCTCCCCTTTACTGACTTTTGGCGAATTTAACAGAAAAATCTCAACTTGAATTGATCATTACTCAAATCGCTCATGATGAATTCATCATCAAGTTCAACACTTTCATCATTAATTCATCATGAATGATTAAATTCATCACCAATTCAATTATTTTCATCACAATTCATCATGTTTCAACACAAATGCATGCTATATTTTCAATAAATTTCATCACCAATTCATGATGAATTGATCATTAATTCAAATATTCATGATGAATTCATCACCAATATACTTACTTTCATCATTAATTCATGATGAATGATTAAATTCATCACCAATTCATCACATTCTAGAAAATTCATCATAATTCATCAGAGGGGAGACGTTGGTGGTTCTTTTCCCTGTCGCTAGCTACCACTGTAGTTGGCTGTTGTAGCTAGCTATGCATAGCATCTTTTGTCATAGCTCGCACTAGCCACTACTAGCTAGCTGCATGAAGAGCAAGAACGTGCTTACTTTGAGCTACTTTGCTACTAGTAGCTCTTTGCTTTAGTCCGCCAGGTAATTCTTGTTGACGCTTCAGTTGACAGTTGACAGCCGAACACCAAGACCACAAAGCAATAGCAACTGCTTTGCAGCCAAAGATGACAGGTCGATGGCCAGTGATAGCTACTAGTACAGTACGCACAGCAGATGAGAGAACACTGAAACAAAGAAGCACAACAACCAAACGTAGCAGTCCATATCCTGTGAAGAACCATCAGCTGCACCTCTAGCCAGCTGCGGTACCGTTACTCGCCATTCGGCAGAACGGTACCACAGCAGAAGTCCACATGGATGGGGATGGTGCCTGCCTGATGCATCTAACTCCATCAACCGGCAAGTCACCGGTAAAGGAAGATGTCAGCCAGTTCCTCGTTTAGTACCTCTTACCAGTTCCTCGTTTAGTACCTCTTACCACCAATAGTTATCTGGCATATCTGCCCACTACGGGACATGCCTTTGTTTGGCAAGCTTGCATGCAACTTCTTTGAAACCAAATCTGACATGCATTCGCTCCAACATCCAAGTTAGTTGTCTCTACTATGAAAGGAGCTCTCTTATCGATACATGTATGATACCGGTAGGAGTGGCAGTCTATGATACCGTACTGGTTCCAAAGGGTCTGGGGAGGACTACATTTTTTTGCGAAGCTTCAAATAACGGAAACGCTCAGAGAAATTTAATTTATTTGCGCAACTCGGTGCGTATCGTACCGGTACGGACTTCTCCTTTGATGCGCGTTCACGTGGATCGAAAAGGCTTTCAGACAAAAAAAAGCTCGAAAAAGGTAGTTTTTTCACGTCTTCGAAAACAAGTGACCGTAGTCCTTTGATTCGATTGATTATCAATTCGCTTGTGTACCGTACCGGTCTCCAACGGTTCGGTAGGGATGGAGGTAAAGAGCTCTGTGAGTCACACAGAAATTCCAGGTTGTTCCCACGTTCCCACTTCAACAGCGCAGCACAAGATGTTGTCCTCATCATCGGAGCACCTCCTTCCTTCCTCCTTACAAAGAGTAGCAAGATCGCCATGTCGACCAGATGCCACTACGAGAGCTTGGGGGTTGCCAAGGACGCTTCTTTGGAAGATATCAAGACATCCTTTCGCAGCCTCTCCAAGGAGACACATCCGGATGTCGCTCCGCATGGGTGCCCCAAGCAAAATGCCGAACGTTTCAAGGAGATTTCGGAGGCTTATCGCATTCTTTCCAACTCGAAAGATCGGCGTCGTTATGATTTGGAACAGCAAGATCGCTTCTGGTATCAAAATCGGAGTCATAGCAATGTAAACAATTATCAGTACGGTGCTACATACAAGAACATGCAGAAGAATGGTCAACCTAAAGCTAGCGGAATTTACGGTGTGTTGGACACCATTTTTCGGCCCCGAAATTTGCTCATGGGTGTTGCATTAGGGATCGGATCAACAGTTTTCTATCAGGTCTTTCTGGTGGATCAGGATGCAAAGAAGAAGTTGATGCAACGGCAACAACACGGCAATCACCTGGTAGAAGCATGGAGAAACCCAAAAACAGGTCGATGGGAACAGGCAGCACCGTGGGATCCCACATATCGGAGATTACAACCCACGCTCGAATTGGTTCCCAGAGAACAAGTCCAGACGAGAACCAGGTAGTAAGAAACGCCACTTTGTTTTTTGGAAGTGCCTACAAGTGTCTGGTACCTGCAACACGTTCTTTTGCGTGTGCAATGGAGCGATTTAAACCCAGAGAACTGCTGGTTGCGTGCACATTTCGCAGCTATTCACCATCTACTAAATAGCTGGATAAAACAGATTAAATCCTATCTAGAAGGTGAGCAGCTAGGCCAACTATTATACTGCGCTTCAAGCAAGGATGGATCTGTTGCTCTTGCTAAGCATTTCACAGCCCAACTGGCTTTTTATTAGGAAAACACTTTGATCACGAAGCCACGTTGGAACCCTGTTGTCTTCCGTGCAAATAGTCCGTTTTGTCCTTCTTATGAAGCAAAACACGCACCGTAAATACCGGTACACGCGTGCAGTAAAATTGATGCAAGTTGCTGTCGGTCTGGACGTCTGTCATGTTAATCCTAAAACACGTGGTAAAACATGTAGAAAGCACGTGGCTGGGATCACATACTTTTAGCCTTTTTTCACTGGGCATATCGCCCCCAAGCATGAGTTTGATCTTTTGTTGGTTGCAGACCTTTCAGAATGGCAGCGCTTTGAACACCACCACCAATGCTACCAAGCACAACGGAGGAAGCCCTCAACGAGGAAAGGGTAACAGACACCATCCTTTTCTCCATTAACGGGCAAAGAGGGGGATTGGGGGCCTTAGCCTGAAAAGCTCACAATCACTGTGATTGCTGATGTGAGTTGAGTTACGATCAGTTGGGCAAATAGCAACACTGGAGGGTGCATCCAAGGTACTAGTAGCTACAATTAGCTCGCCTTTGCTGCCTCCAGTAGTTTGTTCTGGAGTGTGGTGGATGTCAGATTGCAGACGGGGAGACCCTCAGACCTCTCCAAGCAGACTCAATTCCATAAAGCAACGTCACTCCTCCCCTCTCTTAAGCCTTGCTTCCTTGTCCTGGCTGGGCTGCAAGTTTGTCTAACTGAGCTTCCCCAAATTCGTCTGCTCATCTTATGTAGCGGTAGCCAGCTACTAGTAGCTAGAGTAGGAGCCGGCAGCATCCCCGAAGCAGTCCTTTCGCCATAGTGCTGGTTCTAGCTAGTAGGGGCCGGCCATGCTGTGGACATAAGCCGCTTTTACCACGGGAACCACTCCCATTCGTCATTTGCGAAAGATCGATGACTGGTGGCTTAGAGCAAACCTGGCACGACTAAATTGGTTTTCTGTTGGGGGGATTCCGGGAAGTACAGCGTTTCCTCGTCACTCATCACAGACCAACCTCCTTTATCAACCTCGTCTGGTGGCTCTGGATTTGCTCCTGTCGCCCAGTAGCTAGCCAAGTCTTCAATCGTATTGCGTTGCAGGCTGGGACAGGACAGAACTCTTGAGAAGCTGCGGATCTTTGAGCGGCGTGAGTGGATCGTTCGAAAGAGTGAAAGAGGAGACCTCTTGCTCATCGAACTTTCTCACAAATCTCATTTGGAGAAAACAAATCTTCTCACATCACAACAAGTCAACACAAGTCAAGTCAAATCCACTCATAAGCAAACATGAAACTCTCCATTCCAACCCTCGCTCTCTCGTCTCTCTTGGCATCTTCAGCCGTGGCCACCAGTCTGCGCCAAAAACGAAAGCTCCAGTTTGGCCAAGGCAACCCACAGGGAGATGTACAGGAATTCTTTGATGGCTTGACGGGAGGATTGACAGGTGGCTTTGAGGGCATGATCGATCTTACCGCCATTCAAGACATGGATCCCCTCGTCGTGGGTGACGGCCAGCCCATGAGCTTTGTGATTGACGATACCTTCAACCTAACTTCCTGTGAATCACCCATCAATATCACTCTGGCACCCGCCACCCTCACGGGTCTTTCTACACTCACCATGGACCGCTTTGAGTTGATACCCAATTCGGGTCAAGTGCAAATCCAGGATGGAAATTGGTGGGATGTCGTCAACACGTTGACTTGGGAAGGAACCTTTGACATGCTCGCGACTGCCGACTTTATTACTTTGGAAGGAGGAATCAGTGTGTCGTCCGATGATACCGAATGTCTGGGGGTTGATGTAGACCAAGATGGAACCTTCCGGACTGGAGTGGTCGTGTCCATGGCCAATCCAATGTTGGATATGCAGTTGGCCATTGGTGGATCTACACAGAGCGTCATTAGCAGTTGGTTTGGAGGTGATCAAGACTCGGTTGCCGAGTCCATGAATGCCACTCAAGTTAGCTTCACGTACGATAGTTGGACCGTCGAGTTTGACAACCCCGCCGTCAACCAAACGATTGATGTTGGTGAAATCATTCAAACCCTCGATGACTTTCTACAGAATGCCCTCAACTCTACTGATTTTGAATTGCCGGGCATTGATGGCTTTGACGGACTTGGTGGCATTGATGACTTCATCCAAGGTCAAGCCAACGCCGTGTCCAAAAGCGCCAGTTTTTCCTTCTAAGAAGCCAGTATAGATAGATGTTTATATCGATTTACTACAGTAGATGTTATTTTAAAGAAAAAGAAGACTTTATAGTGGAACTGCAATGGGGCCTTGACTTTCTCAGTTTTTCAAAGAGCACTCGAGTAAACGCTGTTGTTGCATCCTCCTGCACTTCACCATTTGGATCCAACAGCTGTCCAACATTGTTGACTAATAAATGCCCCGCTGCATCCACTCTAATACTATTGTATTGGAAAATGTGTGAGTTTTTGGGTGGCTGTTGGCAATACGTGCGAGAGGTTCGATGTCACGGACGTCAGGCAAAAGTACACTGTAGTTTCAATCTAAAGCTCACAGAGCTGATGGATGATGCTGGGGGGTGCCTCAAACCAACCCACAGTAACTGGGAATGTCTTACCCCACCTTCCTGCAATCTTGAATACCTTCAAACACCTTCAACCGCGCTGAACCGACCTCAACCGCTCGTTTTACCGCCTTTTTACCACCTGTTTACCGCCTTCAACCGCTCTCGACCGCTCGCCACCACCCTCAACCACCTTTTCTCAGCTGATCTTCAAACAAATCCGGTGGTTGAGGAAAAAGAAAAACAGTTCGAATTGGTTTGAGCCACCCCCCTGGGCAAAGATCTCAGTTTGAAGGCTCGAACTAAAGCAAAGATCGCAAGATCCAAATGGGATCATCACAGTTTCAGAGAGCACTTGCCGACATGAAGAGGTTCTTTATCGGCAGTACGGCTTTGCTCTTGCTCCTGCCATTGATACTATCGCTGCTATCTCCATCTGATGGATTCATTGTCGTCTCAAAATCGTTCAATACTCCAGAGCTCCATGCAGGTGCGGCTCGGTTGTTGAAACCGGAATCCAACACGAGGTTGAGGTTGGTATCAGCAAGCCAGCAAGAGGCAGAGGCCCTAGAACTAGAGTTAAAGGATGCGGAAATGGTGTTGAGACAAGCCATGCTGAAATCGAATGTCAAGGTTTTGGATAGTCTCCTGGATGACAACCTTTGGTTTACCAACCATTTGGGCCAAAAAATTGCCAAAGAGGACGACTTGAACGCTCACGAACAAGGTTTTGTTGATATTCAAGAGGTGGATCTGTCAGATATGAAGATTCGTCTTTTACCTCCTAGCAATGATGTCGGAGTTGTGACTGTGGCAACTCATATTGTGGGTTCGTTTGCAGGAACTCCATTCGACGACACATTGCGATTCACACGCATCTGGCAGCGTGAAGCAAGTTCCAGCAAATGGAAGATTATTGCAGGGCACTCCAGTGTAGACCAGTCAGAAAATACCAGCTAGCTAGCTACCTTATAGCGTTTCCAGAAAACTTGGGGCTGTCGCTACAGTAACACATGAAGTACTCTGAAGAAATTCATGGCTTCCATTTTCTAGAAGATTTCCTGACCTCCTTCCTGTCATTCACAATGCTGGCAAACAATCAGTGCATGCCAGTGTTTGCTAAACGGTCACTCTGCTTGCCAGTGTGAGCAGCACCGTTGCCATTATCCTGGTACCAATGCCTTCATTTCAAGGGGCAAGGACTGGGTAGACAGTTTAACCAATAGAACCAAGTTGACGATACTTTTGAATAAGTGGCTGCATAATTTGGATGTTCCAGTTGCGGTGACCCGCCCGGGTTTGTTTGAAGGTAGAGGATCCAGCAAAATATAAAAGCAGCATTTCCTTTCAATTTCTCTTGCTACTAACAACAGGTCAGCCAATATCTGTCCCCACTGCTTGCCTTTGATCCCAACCAAGACGCCCTATTGAGTCCAACCAAGAACATAGACCTCTCTACTAGCTAGCCAGATAGGCAGTCTGATAAAGACTTATGACAAGACTTGGTACGGTATTCTACTATAGTGGCGAAGCCCATCTCAGCTAGAGTGATACAAAGACTACATGATGTGGTGCCGTTACTCTCATCTCCAATCTCGAGAGGGAAACAATCTCAAGATTGGGGGTTTTTAAAAATCTGAATCTGTCCAGCATTTCACTGGTGCCGTGGTTGCGCCATTCAATAATTCCTCAGCGCTCCAAATTATTACAAGGACTGGATGTCTTACGGCTTTGTTCAACCGATCAAAAAATCGGGTCAAACAACGGGTACACGTACGATCGTACGATCTGCTCATGTACGAGGACCGTACACTGGATGAGCTACCGGTACTGGGTGGCAACCTAGAACCTAGAACGCGCCACCGCTGCATACATGTAGCAATTCGCAGTGGTGGTTTCGTAGTTTCGACGGTGGCTTTTATAATAGAAGCTGGCTATTAATAGCTAGAGGTTGAGCTCCCTGCCGTACGTAATCTACTAGACAGGTACGTAGGTTGAGCTCCCTGCTCTTCGAAATGCAACAGATTGAGAGTGCTTGCTTCTCTTCCTACTATCATTGCTTGCTGGTCGGACGGCCACAAAGGAAAGATAGCTAGCTACTACTAGTATGGAACAAAAGAAGTAAGCAAACACCGCGACCAATTAGCCACAGACGCCAGAGCTACAAAGTTGAGCTCAAAGTTGTATGGTAGCTAGCCAGCCAAGATTTTCGAAAGAGTTCAGATTTGCCCTGGCTAGTACGTCCTGGGGAAATGCCCTTTAGGGGATACCATACCGATACACCTCAAGAAGTTAGAAACTGGATGAAACACCATGATGAACTTTGAATGGTTAACATGATGAAGAGGACGGGGGACCAGTCTTCATGCATCCAACAAACACACACATGGGCTCGCGCAGTTCGTAGTTCGAGAAGGATTTAACGTTGTTTGCTCCATAAATGACTGCCGCCTTACCCGCCAGGCATAATGCCGGTTCACCGTTCACTGCTGCCCACTGTCTTTACGGAAACCGTAATATAGCAAAGCAGCAAACCCGCAGACAGCCATTTTTGTTTTTCAAGGGAGCAGGGAGAAAGAGAAGAAGAGAGAAGAACGATATGGGCAGGCATCCACCTGGGACAACAACACCCCGATGCCATTTATCAGAGAGCAGTGTCAATTCAAGTCGAGAACACCTTCTTATTAGTACCTTGTGTGAACCTTTCAGGCACCTACCGGTACCCTCCTCTTTGTTTGTAGTAGAAGCTAGTGCTAGTAGTGTAGTCTATAGTCTAGCTAGCTAGAAGGATGAAGCTTCAGCTGATGAGCCCTCTGTGGGCCTTGTGGATTTTTTGTTCATTGTCGAGATCTGATGCCACCAACAGTGCGACAGATCAGGCGGGGCATTTTGAAGATGCATCCGAGACGTCCTATTTTGAGTCCGTCTTGGTGGTAACCCACCTTGTCGACTCGGAGATTCTGCTGAAGTCCAAGCTACCCAAGGCACAATCTCAACAAGATGGAAACACCAACAACAACGAAATGGAAACGTTGATTCGAGATACGTTTAACCAGCGAGCCGAAGCCATGTGCGATCCCCACCAGACGCGCTTGTTGCAGCTACGCACCGATTGGACGGCTTTGCGAGCGGAAATGGGGCGACAAACCAAACATCACGAATCTACCGTCATCAGCGACGACCAGACATCGTCCTTGGTGGCATTGCCGGTCCAGTATCACATCATGGGGATCTGCCAAGGATGCAAACAGGACGGCGTTCCCGTGATTTTCGACAATGATGGTGGCAGTAGTAGTATCAAGCAAGAAGAAAATGACGTCAAGCCAGAACGGCTCAACTGTCCTCCCAACCCGGTCAGTATGACCCGTGAAGACTTTCAGCAGGCGTTGCAGCAAGCCCTGCAAGATCAGAGAGAACACTACAGTGCTGCTGCTGCTCGTGATCCTTCCACCAAGCTCTTTTTTGGCGTGTCGTCCATGATTGAGCACGTCCAACAACAGCAACAGCAGCCAGAACAACAAACCCGTCAGTTAGAGGACACCTTTGACTTTCCCTGTATCGAAGATGACCCCAAGACAGTGTTACAGTCGACGCTGGTGTTGCAACTACCGGGTGATTGGACGGAATACTACACCAATCTGACGCTGGTGGAAGATGCCTTTGTGGATGTGTATAATCGGCTCACGTTTCTACTGTGCGATTCGCCATTCTTTCGCAAAGTGACCTCCGTCAGTGCCGAGCTAGGACAGGCAGGTTTTAACGATGTATCCAATACCACCCAGGTCCAGTTTGACGTACAAGCCGATTGTCGCAATGAATGCCCCGCAAGTCTTGCCCTCTTTGACTTTTCAACAACAACAACAACAGGAACCAACAGTAGCGACAACAACCCACTAGACGCAGGAGACCCAATCAATACTGGTAATACCAGTCTCGTCGATGATCCTACGGCGGTCGTGATCTTGGCCAACCGTCAGGGCCCCACACCTTGCAGCTGTCCCCGCAATGTGGAGGTGGATCCACCCATACGGGCTCCGACCGTAGCCGAATTCGCTTCGGTGTTTGAACAAGATGTCGAATCGATTTACCAAGACTTGGTGGCAGCAGCTGCATCCGAAGAATTGTTCACGGGAGAAATTGAGACAGTGGCATGCGACGACGACGTTCGCATCTTTACGTCCTATGCCTTTGTCGACCTGATCACAGCTGGGGACGAATCGTCGCTGCAGGAGAGTGAAAAGCAGGCGTTGCAAGACGCCTTTCGGGTCATTTACAATCGATTGGCGTTCCTCAGCTGTGATCCCTTCTTTCGTCAAGTCATTGACGCAACCTTGGAAGAGGACGAAACGGTTCGACAACGCGTTCTCCAGCAGCTCCAAGAAGAATCAGACGGCAGCTACAACAATAACGCGACGGCATTCAACATGACAAACACCACCAATACAACAACCACAACAACCGTTCCCGATGAGAGAAGTATCAGTGGATCTCTCTTTTCCGTTACGGGAACTTGCAGAGGTTGCCCCGTCACATCGACTGGATCGTTCCAATTGTTTGACGATACCTTTCGACGTAGTCTACGGGAAGAATACGAACAGTCGACTCGATCGAAACGATTGCCACGGTTTACGCCACCCCGTCGCAATCTCGAAGAAGACTCCTGTGTTTGTCCCGTGGAAGTGCAAGTCGAGCAGTTGTCCATTAATGAATTTGTCGTTTCCTACAACGAAGAACTTGAGGACTTGCAAGAACAAGGCGTGTTGGTTTCGATCGAGACGGTTCAAGAACTGCAGGAAGGACAACAAGTGGGCTGTGAAGGGGAGATCCGAACCTTTACTACAAAGGTGTTTGCCGACGTGACATTGTATGCCGACGACCTGAGCGATGAGGAAAAGTCTTCCTTGGAATACCTCTTTCAGGACACGTACAACTCATTGACGTTTGCGCTATGTGATGGCCTATTCAGATCCGTCGTTAATGTCAATCTGGACTCAACTGGGGCTTCACCGTTGGGTTTTCGGAGAAGAGGGCTTCAGCAGGAGCAAGGCATTTACAATGGGACCTCCTTCAACGCTACTTCCAATGCTACCAGCACATTGGAGGACGGTCTCCATAGAGGAACAGACGTAACCACTGTTTTCTCTGTTACTGGGCAATGTCGTGGCTGCCCTGTTTCAGATACCGGCCAGTTTGGTTTGTTTGACGACACATTCCGACGACGACGGGAGTTGTCCTTGGACGGGTCGATCCCACGCCACCGACCGTCGTTTATCCCACGTGATCTGCTGGATGAATCGAACGATGTGTGCATCTGTCCAGTAGGAGTTCAACCGGGCGACAATCAAGGGGTCACGCCCGAAGTTTTCCAGGTTGCATTCAATGATCGAGTTAAGGAAGAACAACAGCTTCAAGGCGGTTCGCTAGACGCAGTGAACGTCACTGTGGACAGCATTCTCGAAGGGCAAGAGGTAGAATGTGGGCCTGAGCCTCAAGAGTTTGCAACCACAGTGTTTGCTGATGTGAGCCTGGATTACGATGAGTTGACACCTGAGCAAGTGGCAACACTGGAAGGCGTTTTCCAGAGTAGCTACAATGCACTCGCTTTTTCTGTCTGTGATAGTTTGTTCCGGAGTGTGGTAGATGTCAGTTTGCAGACTGGCGAGACCGCAAGACGTCTACAAGCGGACTCCAGTGGCTTGGACAACGACAACTCCGCTTTCTTGAACACCACACACAATGCAACAAACACCTCATCAGCAGACGGCGCGGTCCTCAGCGGCAGAGCCGCGGTATTCTCGGTGACCGGACAATGTCGTGGCTGTCCTGTTTCCGATACAGGGCAATTCAGCCTTTTTGACGATGCCTTTCGTCGGAGGAGAGAATTATCTGAAATGGATCAAGACTTGTTTAGTATCCCTCGTGGATTACTTGAGGCAGAAACGTTTTGCGTTTGTCCTTCTGGAGTTGAACCGGGGCAGCAAGAAGGCCCTACTTCAGAAGTATTTCAAGTTGTTTTTTCTGCGCAAGTTGAAAAGGAGAGGAAGGAAAGTGGTGCATTGGACGGGGTGGAAGTCTCTGTTGATAACTTGATCGAGGGGCAGGAAGTGAATTGCAGCTCCGATGTGCAACTTTTTACTACTTCAGTTTATGTGGACGTCAGTCTCAGCCTGGAGGAGTTGAATGATGACCAAAAGGCTGTCCTGGAGAGCACATTCCAAGACACCTACAATGACATGGCATTTAGTGTTTGCGATGGCTTGTTTCGCAGCGTAGTTGGCGTGAACCTGGAAAAAGAATCATCCGAACAATTGTTCTCGAATCGACAGCTTCAAGAGACTTCGCTTTCGTTTCTGAATGGGACGCTCAACGGAAATGGCACTAACTCAAGCTCTCTGATCAACGAAACTTCAGTGGGAAGAAACACATTGTTTTCGGTGACAGGCCAGGTAAGTTACGGAAATAAAAATGCCAAACCAACCAAAACGCCATCAATCAGCTGCCAACAGAGCTTTCCCCTGCATCTCCCAGTGTCGCAACTGCCCTGTTACCGACTCAGGATCTTTCAGGCTCTTTGACGATGCGTTTCGCAGGAGAAGGCTTTCCCAGCAGCCTTGGGATGTGGATCTACCAAAGCGGCCCAGACGATTGGAAGAGAACTCTTGCGTTTGCCCTGTGGGAGTGGATCCTGGTGAACCTGGGGAGAGCGGACCAACGGTGGAAGATTTTCTAGTTGTTTTCAACATTGAAATTGAGAAGGAGAAAGAAGCTGGGACGTTGGGGGATATCAATGTGACCGCTGATGCTATCGTTGAGGGGCAAATTGTCGATTGTGAACCGACCCAAGAGGAATTCAGGTCAGAAATTTTTTCTGATTTACAAGTCAACCTGACGAGTTTGACAGTGGAGGAAGTTACGTTGTTGGAGGAAGCTTTTCGTGACGTGTATAACAACATGGCATTCTTCTCTTGTGATACGTACTTTCGTGCACTTGAAGAAGTCCAACTAAGGATTGGTCAACCGGAAAAGATTTTTCCCAATAGACGACTCGAGGAGGCGTCGAATTACACGTCATTCGACAACTTCACCAATACAACGAATACAACTCTTGCCGAAAACTCAACCTATGCGGTTCAAACTTACGTTGGGAATACTCTGTTTTCTGTAACAGGCAGCTGCCGGTAAGTCACCAAGAGTGATATGGGACGCAAGAACGCCCGATGCGGTGGTTTCTCACTTCTCACATTGTTGCGAATGTGTGCTATTGGAAGGAACTGTCCAGTGTCAGATGCGGGGTACTTCAATGTGAGTAACTCATAATATGCGAAAGTGCTCGTTCAATCGGGGTGAAACCTCATCCTTGATCTCTGCCACTCCTTTGCAGATTTTTGACGATGCCTTTCGCAGAAGGTCGCTCGAAGAGTCGAGAGAATTCATAGGTATCACAGGGATGCAAAGAGAGCTTCTTTCGAGCGATAACTGCTTCTGCCCGTCTGGAGTTGAGCCAGGGGAGTTGCAAGGGCCAACTGCTTTTGAATTTGAGACAGTTTTCATCGAGAAACTAGCCACCATGACAGCAACTGGTGAAATCTTTTCTGTTGCAACGACCGCGGACAATGTGGTCGAAGGACGGGAGGTTGAATGCTCAGCTGAAATTCATGATTTTCAAAGTGCAGCATACACGGATCTAAACGTTGACCCAATGTCATTAACCGAAGAACAAAAGCAAGCGTTGGAGAACGCTTTTCGTGAAGCCTACAATCTTCTGAGTTTTATGGCCTGCGACGGCTTCTTTCGCATTGTCGCCGATGTTGAGATTGTTATCGAGACCGTGGAGGGCCGCCCGATAAGAAGATTAGAGGAGGAAGACCCCTTTCAAAATGCCACTAGCTCTTTCTTTGGGAATTCCACGAACACCACCGAGGCAGCCAACGGAACATTGGGGACAGCGTCACCAGGAATTGAAGATGCAGGACCGGAAGCAACCAACAATGGGACCAGCAGGGGTCAGGCTGTCTTTCTCATCACTGGCAGGTGTCGTAATTGCCCTGTCACTGCCACAGGATCATTTTCCTTGTTCGATGATGCCTTCAGACGGTCATTGAAGCGATCCAGAAGAAGCAGGCATGGGTCGTCACAAACGCGGAAGATGCTGGTAGAAAACTTCGACGAGAACATCTGCATCTGTCCACTCGGCACCGATCCATCGGACTATGAACCAATTGCCGTTCGGGAGTTCGTAGACGAGTTCAATCTCATCATTGCAGATGAAGACGTGAATGTCACCGTCACACCAGTCGTTCGACTTGTCGAGATTGAACCGAGGACTGTAGCCAACTATACGGCAGCGCCATCGCGTTCTCCCACGGACCAGCCGTCGTCTAACGCCTCGTTATCACCGACGAGCTCACCAACGGAAGCCGCTCCTGAACCGACGCCGGCGCCAACGATCGAGCCGACTGAAGAACCCACTATGGAGCGAACTGCGGAGCCGACAGGAGAACCCACAGTTGCCCCTACTGATGAGCCAACCAGCAGTCCTACTGGTCTTCCAACAGCCTCACCAACACCTAATCCCAGCCCAGAACCAACGATCTCACCATCGGGCATTCCATCCACAGTGCCATCTTTTGCACCCAGTTCTGGACCAACGATTGAACCTACTCCGGAACCAACACTAAATCCGACCACGGATCCTACCAAGAACCCCTCGTCTCAACCCACAACTGCAGCTCCATCATCATTGCCTTCAATATCGCCAACAAACGTCCCAACAACCTTTGTGTGTGACCAGGATATGATTACGGTGGAAGCCTACTACTATGGTATGCTTCTACATTATTCGGTATGATGCGAAGAGGTATCTTGGATTTCTAACACTGCGTCGTTTCGATCTAAGTGCTCTACACTGGAAACACATCTGCCGTGTCCGATGCTGACCTGGATTCTGCTTTTCTGGCTGCTGACCGGGCAATGGGTAAGACTGGGTGCTCCTCGGTGGTTGGGAGTGCCTCAGTAAAGCGTCGAATTAGTAGGAGAAGACGACGTTTGCAAACGCAAACAGGAACAACATCGACAGTTGAATTCTTGGTATCATCATCACAACTGGATAACACGCCTATGTATCAGAGTATCAGTGCGGCTGAATCTTTCCTCGGAAACCACAATCAACAGCAACAGATGCAAGATAACAGTGTTGTCGGTGAGTCACTTTGCCAGCACTTTGATGTCTCTGTGATTGCTGCGCTTTGCCTAAACTTTCCCCCTGGTTGATAGCTATTGCAATTCAGACGTCGATACCAGCTCCCACTGCTGCTCCAACCACCAACCCAAGCTCTGGCCCAAGCTCTATCCCTAGCTCCGCACCCAGCGTTATGCCAAGCGTAGACCCAAGCACTTCACCTAGTTCGAACCCAAGCAAAACCCCAAGTATCTCTCCAAGTGGAACCCCGAGCTCCAACCCCAGTACATTCCCACAGCCGAGTACAGACCCCAGTGCATTCCCAAGTAGTTTGCCTAGTGTGCCGCCCAGTACATCACCATCAGGGCTTGCCCCAACTGCAACACCCAGTACAACTCCAAGTGATTTCCCAAGTTCAAACCCAAGTGAGTCACCAACAACAAGCCAGAAGCCCAGTGGTCTTCCAAGCTACAACCCCAGCACAAGTCAAAAGCCCAGTACATACCCCAGTGCATTCCCAAGTACTAGTAGTTTGCCTAGTGTGCCGCCCAGTACATCACCATCAGGGCTTGCCCCAACTGAAACACCCAGTACAACTCCAAGTGATTTCCCAAGTTCTAACCCAAGTGAGTCACCAACAACAAGCCAGAAGCCCAGTGGTCTTCCAAGCTACAACCCAAGTACAAGCCAACAGCCGAGTACAGCCCCCAGTGCATTCCCAAGTGATTTCCCAAGTTCAAACCCAAGTGTGTCACCAACAACAAGCCAGAAGCCCAGTGGTCTTCCAAGCTACAACCCCAGCACAAGCCATCAGCCGAGTACAGACCCCAGTGCATTCCCAAGTACTAGTGGTTTGCCTAGTGTGACACCCAGCATATCTCCATCAGGACTCTCCCCAACTGAGACACCCAGTACAACGCCAAGTGATTTCCCAAGTTCAAACCCAAGCGAGTCACCAACAACAAGCCAGATGCCCAGTGGTCTTCCAAGCTACAACCCCAGCACAAGCCAACAGCCGAGTACAAACCCCAGTGCATTCCCAAGTACTAGTAGTTTGCCCAGTGTGACACCCAGCATATCTCCATCAGGGATTTCCCCAACTGAAGCACCCAGTACAACGCCAAGTGATTTCCCAAGTATAACGCCAAGTGACACCCCAAGTGCCAATCCAAGCGGCGTTCCTAGTTTGATTCCCAGCTCATCACCCAGTGACCTGCCAAGTCAATCCCCAAGTACCATGCCTAGTACAAGACCAAGCAAAATCCCCAGCAAACTACCCAGTGCTAGCCCAAGTTCTGTTCCCAGCATTAGTCCCAGTGATGCGCCTAGTTCATTTCCCAGCATAACACCAAGTGCGGAACCAAGTGGATCTCCGAGCGGCATTCCCAGCAGTGTTCCCAGTATGGCTCCCACTTACGAGTCTTTTGATTCCGCAGAGGAACTGAGAAATGCATTGTTTGGCACTCTCGGTTGCTGCGTGGAATGTGCTTGTGATCCTGATTACAGTAAGATTTACTGAGGGAGGCTTCAATGGTTCTTGGGTATCAGGTATCATGCTCTAACTCTTGACATTGTTGCTGTTGCTGTTGCTGTTGCTGTTGTTGTTGTTGTTGTTGTTGTTTGCTGTCACCCAGATCAAGCTCATGACTCAGAGTCTCTAGTTTCCCAAAGATATGGTATGCACATGTCAGGAAGTTAGGGTTCATCTTGGGTCAACCTTACCTCATTTTTCTGCTCTTTCACTAGGACACCCGGCTCACACTTGGGACATTAGCAAGGTAAGTTTGTCCAGCAAAGCAAAACGGGCGGGGGGATAGTGCACTGCCTTACCTAACAGCTCAATGCTTTGATATCCAACAGATTACAGATCTTAGCTATGTCTTTGCTGGCTACCAGGGCACTGTTGACCTTGACCTGAATGGATGGGTAAGAAAATGAGGATTCATTTGGGGGTAACAAGAGGCCATATCTAACATGCACTGCACTTGTACCTTCAGGACACAAGTAATGTTGTCAGCATGGAGGGGATATTCAGGCAGTCTTTGATGGGACAATCAATGACTGGGACACCTCAAAGGTTGAGAGTCTGTTGGGTGCATTTTCGGAGTGCGAGTTTAGTGGAGACATCTCTGAGTGGGATGTCAGTTGTAAGTTGGTCAAATGTGTTGAGTTTCACTTCTTGCATTTGGTGATTAACACACATCTACATTCTCTCATGCACAGCGGTGACTGACATGAGCTACATGTAAGCATTTATTTCTTCCTGTGTCAGCTTTCGATTGCTTGGGAAATTCTTAACGAACCTTTTTGAATATCACAGGCTATGGGAAACCACATGTTGTTTTGCTTCGGCATTAAACGAATGGAATGTTGCCAAAGTGACGAATTTTGAGGAGTAAGGACACAAAATGCATTTCCATGTTTGATTCTTCACAATGTCAAATTCTCACTTATGTTTGTGGTTTGAATCAGAATGTTTGGCTTCGAAGTTACCATTCCTGGTGGGATTGGAAAGTGGGATGTCACTGGAAATGGGGCTGAAGGGGGGGTGTACACCATGTTTATGTAAGTCTACTTTGATCAAGTTCTGTGCCCTAATTTTCACCTTCTCATACTATCATCATCCATCGATACAATGCAGGTTCGCTACTGCAGTAAATGTACCTGATCTGACTAATGATGGTGGATGGGACACATCCAACATCTAGAATGTAAGCATTCCTTTCTTCCAGTGTGGCTTTTGAACCTTTGGAAATTCCTAACAACCTTTTTGATAGGTTCATGTCTCAAGCAACTCTTCGACCAGGACATCACAAATTGGAATGTTGGCAAAGTTCTAGATAGAATGGAATGTGAGATTTCACCACGAAAAGACTGCACGCTTCAAATTTGTTCTAACTACTATGTTCTTTTGCTTTGGTGCTAGGTTTCTTGAGGCGTCTTCATTCAGCCAAGATATTAAGACTTGGGAACTATCCAGCATTCAATACTGGGGGATATGTTTTCTGTTGCTTCTGCTTTCAGTCATAGCCTGTGCGATTGGAATGACCACTTGCCACTAATATTGGGGGTTGTATGCATCTAGTTTGCGGACTCTGGTTGTCCTGACCAATCACCCACAATAGAATATACATCTGGCTACTCCCCATTGTGTCATGTTTGTGACCTTCCCAGCAATGCCCCGTCCAATGTCCCAAGCAATCTTCCAAGTGTTGCTCCAAGTGACATTCCCAGCAAGGCCCCGTCAATGTCCCCAGCAATCTTCCAAGTATTTCCCCAAGTGACATTCCCAGCACGGCTCCAAGCAAGGCCCCGTCGAATGTCCCAAGCAAGCTTCCAAGTGTTGCCCCAAGTGACATTCCTAGCAAGGCACCGTCGAATGTCCCAAGCAATCTTCCAAGTGTTGCCCCAAGTGACATTCCGAGCAATGCACCGTCGAATGTCCCAAGCAATCTTCCAAGTGCCCCCAAGTGACATTCCCAGCAAGGAACCGTCGAATGTCCCAAGCAATCTTCCAAGTGTTGCCCCAAGTGACATTCCCAGCAAGGCCCCATCGAATGTCCCAAGCAATCTTCCAAGTGTTGCTCCAAGTGACATTCCCAGCAAGCCCCGTCGAATGTCCCAAGCAATCTTCCAAGTGTGGCCCCAAGTGACATTCCCAGCAAGGCCCCGTCGAATGTCCCAAGCAATCTTCCAAGTGTGCCCCAAGTGACATTCCCAGCAAGGCCCCGTCGAATGTCCCAAGCAATCTTCCAAGTTTCCCCCAAGTGACATTCCAAGCAAGGCCCGTCCAATGTCCCAAGCAATCTTCCAAGTGTTGCCCCAAGTGACATTCCCAGCAAGGCTCCGTCCAATGTCCCAAGCAATCTTCCAAGTGTTGCCCCAAGTGATATTCCCAGCAAGGCTCCAAGCAAGGCCCCGTCAATGTCCCAAGCAATCTTCCAAGTGTTGCCCCAAGCAGTATTCCCAGCAATGTTCCCAGTATGGCTCCCACTTACGAGGCTTTTGGTTCCGCAGAGGAACTGAGAAATGCATTGTTTGGCACTCTCGGTTGCTGCGTGGAATGTACTTGTAATCCAGATTACAGTAAGATTCACCGAGGGAGGCTTCAATGGTTCTTGGGTAATCCGGTATCATGCTCTAACTCTTGACATTGTTGCTGTTGCTGTTGCTGTTGCTGTTGTTGTTGTTTGCTGTCACCCAGATCAAGCTCATGACTCAGAGTCTCTAGTTTCCCAAAGATATGGTATGCACATGTCTGGAAATTCAAAGGGTTCATCTTGGGTCAACCTTACCTCATTTTTCTGCTCTTTCACTAGGACACCCGGCTCACACTTGGGACATTAGCAAGGTAAGTTTGTCCAGCAAAGCAAAACCGGGCGGGGGGATAGTGCACTGCCTCACCTAACCGGCTCAATGCTTTGATATCCCACAGATTACAACTCTTAGCTATGTGTTTGCAGGCTATCAGGGCACTGTTGACCTTGACCTGAATGGATGGGTAAGAAAATGAGGATTCATTTGGGGGTAACAAGAGGCCATATCTAACATGCACTGCACTTGTACCTTCAGGACACAAGTAATGTTGTCAGCATGGAGGGGATATTCACCCAGTCCAAATTTGATGGGACAATCAATGACTGGGACACCTCAAAGGTTGAGAGTCTCTTGGGTGCATTTTCGGATTGCGAGTTTAGTGGAGACATCTCTGAGTGGGATGTCAGTTGTAAGTTGGTCAAATGTGTTGAGTTTCACTTCTTGCATTTGGTGATTAACACACATCTACATTCTCTCATGCACAGCGGTGACTGACATGAGCTACATGTAAGAATTTATTTCTTCCTGTGTCAGCTTTCGATTGCTTGGGAAATTCTTAACGAACCTTTTTTTAAATATATCACAGGCTTTATCTAACCTCATGTTGTTTTGCTTCGGCATTAAACGGCTGGAATGTTGCCAAAGTGACGATTTTTGTGGAGTAAGGACACAAAATGCATTTCCCGCATGTTTGATCCATCTACAATGTCACAATTCTCACCTTATGTTTGGTGGTTTGAATCAGAATGTTTGCCAGTTCTGAAGTTACCATTCCTGGTGGGATTGGAAAGTGGGATGTCACTGGAAACGGTGCTGAAGGGGTGGAAACCCAGTCTATGTAAGTCTACTCTGATCAAGTTCTGTGCCCAATATTTCACCCTTCTCATACTATCATCATACCATCGATAACAATGCAGGTTCGCTGATGCAGTAAATGTACCTGATCTGACTAATGATGGTGGATGGGACACATCCAACATCATAGACATGTAAGCATTCGTTTCTTCCAGTGTTGGCTTTTGAACTCTTGGGAAATTCCTAACAAACCTTTTTGAATAAGGTTTTTCATGTTCAAGGGTGCAACTTCATTCGACCAGGACATCACAAATTGGAATGTTGGCAAAGTGCTAGATATGGATTCAATGTGAGATTTCACCGTGAATAGACTGGCATGCATCAAAAAAATTTGTTCTAACTACTATGTTCTTTTGCTTTGGTGCTAGGTTTGCTGAGGCATCTTCATTCAGCCAAGATATTAAGACTTGGGAACTATCCAGCATTCAATACATGGGGGATATGTTTTCTGTTGCTTCTGCTTTCAGTCATAGCCTGTGCGATTGGAATGACCACTTGCCACTTAATATTTGGGGGTTGTCTGCATCTACGTTTGCGGACTCTGGTTGTCCTGACCAATCGCCCACAATAGAATATACATCTGGCTACTCTCCATTGTGTCATGTTTGTCAAGGTGCAACAGAATCCGGGCTGGGCTCGACACCGGTACCTGATGGAGGGGGATACGGATATGTGTACGGAGATGGGTACTATGAGGGGTACTTAGAGCATGTCGAACCAACTGCAGCACCAGAAGGAGGGGGGGGCTCTATTGGACTAGATCCACCAACCATTGAACCAAGTACTTTCCCAAGCAAGATTCCCAGCAAGGCTCCAACCACGGCCCCGTCCAACGTCCCAAGCAACGTTCCCAGCAAGGCCCCGTCCAATGTGCCAAGCAATCTTCCAAGTATTGCCCCAAGTGACATTCCCAGCAACGCCCCGTCCAATGCCCCAAGTGATGTCCCAAGTATTGCCCCGAGTGACATTCCCTCCAACGCTCCGAGCGAATCACCCTCCAACGCTCCAAGCGAATCTCCCACCAATTCACCATCTTTGCAGCCATCTCCCGGGGGATTGATACTTCTACCTCCACCAGGAGATCGAGACGGGGGCTAGCTAGGAGACGGTGACGGTGAAGGAGGCTAGCTAGCTAGGTTGTGCTACAACTGTGTTAGTGCTAGTTTGTCTCAGGGATGCTCCGTGTCTTCCTCTGTTTTAAGCTGTACCTGCAATCTTACATTACCGGTACCAGTAGGCAATTGAGTTACTGAACAACTACCCTGCTATTATACCTAGCTAGCTATTAGAGGCCATTGACAGCCATTAATGTACTAGTTCGTGCAACTGGTGTACTCGCTGGCTAGCTAGTGGCTAGCTAGCACATGTCCCTTTGGAGATGGAGTGTCTCGGACTGGCTCACATTAATGATACATCTACTGATAGTCAAATAATTTTAGGAAGTAAAAGCAATCATAGTTTAGTGGTAAAATATCTGCCTTCCAAGCAGATGTCCTGGGTTCGATTCCCAGTGATTGCAGTGCTGTAACTTTTGCACAATGCCAGATCTGTATCTGAGGAACGGCTTTTGACAATTATTTATGGCTGAGCCAGTCAAATCATAGCGCCTTTGAAAGACAGTAAGTACCTGGTACTAGCTAGTAGGGTTTTTGCAGATGCAGAGGCTAATCATCCCTGCCCGGCTTACTGAAGCAATTTCCTAGGCGGTTGCTGATGGCACAAGCCCTCTGGTTGCATACTAGTGCCTGCTATTCGTTAGAAGGATTGTTCCTTTGCTTGTGCTTCCAGGATGGTGTGTACGTCATACAGTACCTCATGCTTTCTTCCACAAGATTCTCAAGTCTCTACAGTACGGTACGGTAGCCATTGTAGCCAAAGTGGCAAACAGTTGGTGGAAAAATTGATTGGATTTTGTTTCCTTCAAGAAAAGTTCCTACCCCAACACACGTACGGTACCGGTACGGTACTAGAGAGCCAATGGTACCGGTACCGTGCGCGCTTGGGATCCAAACCAACTCGACGAAGGCAAGCACAATCCTCAAAGCCTCGAAGGTACGCATCCATGCAGCCACTCGGGAAGAAAACCGTCCCACGTCCAAAGCATTACTGGTAACGGTACTGGTAGCTACTGTACTAGCTAGCTAGAGTACCTACCATATTCTGTTTTTCCGCGGCGACTAGTACCAGTACCGGTACCAGGTACCGTAGCTGATGATGTACCGGTAAACTCTACCGGTACTAGTAGGTGATGAGAGCGTTGAAAGGAATGAGGCAGAGAATTTTGGGAATGTACGAGGCAAGGTGAACGGTGACTGGCATTAAATCTGACGATGCTCCCGAGAGGAGGTTAGCCTTCTTTGACTCCCGTGGCTGTTCATTCGAAAATTCCATGGTTCCAGTAAAAACCCCAAAGAGAAAAACATCCACAACAACAAAATGGTTGCCGCTGATCGCATGCGTCTAGCCCATACTTGACCCGGTTACAATCGGCGACTTGTATGATTGGTGCGAAGAGCGGCTAGGCAGTTGAAGCCGAGAATGATCATGCAGAAAGGTCGACGTAGCATCTTGGGTGTCTCTGTCATTTTTGCGCTGGCAACCGCAACTTTGACGCAAGCGTTCTGCTTGCTGTGTGGAGAAGAAGGAGTGGATGGACTGGAACGCCCCGACTTTAAGGTCGACCAATGGGGTAAAACATGCTCGCAGCTTATGCTAGAATTAGCTCTACAGTATGACGAAGGGGATGTTGGATGCGACGACTCCGTCGATTCCTTCGGTGCCATGTGCTGTGACGAAGAAGAGCCAGATCCAATCCAGCAGACACCTACCAGCGCGCCAGTGTACACCGGTCCGATGGGAGACTATCCCCCGTGTCCTATATGCTATAATGGAAACTACCCCGGTAGGTTGATGTTGCAATCAGCAAGGCGCCAATTCTGTTGCAGGCATTTGAAAATCTAAACTGCTTTCACCCTTCCTTATTTCTATGCTCAGGCAACCCAGCAATGGTCATCAATATACTTGGAATAGGAGCAGATTCGTGTAGAATGTACTACCACTATGGCGAACGAGGCTTGATCCGTACGGAACTGTGTGACACTCTGCAGAGTTTTGCCTTCGATCCTTGCGGCTGTGACAAGACCGCACCACCTAGTTCGCAGTCAGGACCTCTTCCTCCCGCGGCAGCTCCAGCTGCAGGCACGCCATCTAGGACTCTCCCCCCAGCAGCTTCACCAACTGCGTCCTCACCAACAGGGGGAGGTTCCGACACTGGGGGTTCCGACGCGGGGGATGCTCTACTTGCCTTGCTGCAATTTATTTTGTCGCTTTTACAAGGCTAGCTAGGAGGTTGCTTTGCTGCTGCAACGTTGTGGGGAGTATTGTATTGGGTTCACGTACATGATGCAACTAATAGAGGTACCGGTATAGGTAAAGGAGTCAGCGATAGCTGTAAACCTGCCATGGTGCATGTAAGGTTGGGCATTAGTGTGTTTATGGATGCATGTAGTATTGTATGGTTTGCTGGTTGTATGCGTATCAGTCTATGCGTTGATGCCTTTGGGGTTCGTAGATGCAAAATCCTCGTTGTCGCTGCACGGGTTTCCTCTTTCTACTGGTACCTGCCCTGCCCGTGCGATGTATTTTTTGTATGAGATTGGTTTCATCTCATATGAGCCGCAGCCTCTTTTGTGATATGTATTGAGGGGAGTGAAATGCTTCGTGCAGTCAGATCAGAGCATCATGATGGAGTGTCATGCCCCCGCCAGTTCATTCATGTTTCTTCCCTCTCATTCACTCAAAACAGGAACCAAACACATCATCATCCTCTTCCACGTCATTTCCCTCCGAGTCTACAATCTCACATTCTTCAATGCTCTGTCCCATGACCCTAGCCAAAACCATCTTTTGAAGCGCCATGTGATCTTCCTTGGTCTGTTCTGCCAGCTGTTGCTTCCATTCTAACGCCACCTTTTCCCGTTCATTCAGGATAATCTCGGCAACCTTGACAGGATCGACAAGATAGGTCAAATCTTTGGTGAAACTGTCTTGGTCTGTCTCCTCCTCGCCATTGCCGCGATGGTCGCCCACTGTAATCATCCGCGGTGGACTCTCCAAGAGCTCTTCTAAAAAGTCATCGCTACGTCCATACGGTTGATCACCCGTAAAGTGTGACAAGAGTCGCTTGACGTAAAAGTCTTGCAAGAACTGGTTGCTACCATGTTCGGGGGCCTTGCGTGCCTGCCTCGATGGGTCGTTGAGGACTCGATGGATGGCTTCTTGCGTCGCCAAGAGACAAAGCAAATCAAAGTTGCTCTTGCGTAGTGGTGAAGGAGCATAATCTGCCTCGGCGCCCACGGAGGAATCCAAAAAGAGCAGATTGGCTCGTTGTATACTGGGTGGGTCTGTAGCGTGGTCATCGACGGTATCCGTGGAGGCGGCACCATTGTTTTCGCTGATGTTTTCCTCCATGGACTTTTGGATTTGCTTTTCCAACTTATCCTTTTGTTGCTGGAGTTCTTCTTCGGCTCGTTGTTCACGAATCTCTCGCAGCATTTTGTGGTAGCTCTTCAAGGTGAGACCTAATAAGAGGGGAAGAGGGGTAAGTAAGCGCATACATTTAGTTAGTTACAGTCCAGGACCATTGAATTCAATTGAATTCAACAGTACCGGTACGTACCACACATGTCCGCAATGACTTGCAAATCATGTTCAAACTCGTTGGCGATCTGCATGCGCACCGACAACATGCGCCGTACCAAGGATGCCGGGTCAATGTCCATCTCGTAGGCTGGAATCTGAGCGTGCCAAGATTCCACCAGGTAAGATTCTTTGGGTTGTCCCAACAGTTGTTCAAAGTAAGAATCCCACGTGGGGAATCGAGTACGATTGAGAATGGCCAATCCATGGTACTTGAGAGCGACGGGATTGGTCTTGGGGAATGTTTTCCATTCGGTTGGTGGCTCCTCCTCGTCATCTTTGGAGGAAACCTTAGCCGATTCTTTGGATTTGGGTGTCCTAGACGCTGTCTTCTTCTTCGTGTCTGATGGAGGAGGATGTCCATAGAGAGACGAAGTCGAGGACGTCATTGATTGCTTCAATCCTCCTTGGAAAGGTGCCCAGTTGCTCTTGGGCGTGGAAGAAGGTTGAAATTTTTTCCCAGCAAAGGGCGCAAAGTTGCCCTTTTTGGCATTGTTGTTGAAGGAAGCAGCTGTTGGCAAACTGGAATAGAGTTGGGAAATGCCCGTGTTAGACACTGGTAGTTCCTCTTGGTTCTTCTTCTGCTTCTTCTTCTTGGCTAAGTACATTCCCACGGTGTAATGGGAGAACGCCTTTTTGACGGCACCCTTGTCCTCTAGCATTTTTAGACAAGCTATGGATGGTTGGAAGACTTTCTTCTTGGTATCCTCTACTTGTTCCACTACCTTGGGTTCTTCGTTTACCACCACAGTCTCTTCTACGAGGGCTAGTGATGGAAAAGGCCCAGCCACGGAACCCAATTCCATCTCAATGTCCGCCAAGGCAGCCTGAGCTGCTTCCGCGAGACTTACCTTGGCGTTCTTGTCAATCTTTTTTCCTTTTGGTGTTTCCATGAGAACCGGATCGGTAAAGTCCTGTAGCCATTGCATGGTGTGAACATCCGATAGAGAGTTCAAGAGAAACATGAAGGACTGAATGGAACACTGTGTCAAAAACTGGTTGAAATCATTGGGTGTCTCCCAGTGAGGGGAAGAGCCAATGGGTGGCACATCATCTCGATAAAAAAGTGTCGTGGGGGTCTTGACAGCAACATGACTTCTGGCTGATGGAGTCACAAAGGACACTGCCATGGGCAATGCTGCCATCACGGATACAACAACGACAAGTCTCATGGTCCACACACAACAAGCAAAAATCAACTATGGATGGGGAGAAGAAAATGTTCTTTTTGGTATGCCGGGTTGATGGCCAAATGAATTGGAGATCCGCCTTCCAGAGGAATCGTATTATTGTGAGCAAGATGCCGATCCAAGATACTTGTCAAGTTGCCCAGGCTTCTCAACATTCTCATCAGAGCCATTCAAATCCTTCCCATCAGGCAGCCAGCTGATGTTCTGTGACAAGCCATCAACACAAATCTTCTCTCCGCCAAGTCGAAGCATCCATCCCATCATTCAGGAACAATTGGCAGCATTTTTTGGGTTTGAATTATGAAAAGAATTCTCGGTTGTGGGTGAAAAGAATTCGAAAAAGGGCATCCAATCGAGAGAAGCAGATTGGTGATGCAGCTTGATTTTGGTTTCGTCCGGCCACGTCATGTTCGGAACCCTTAATTCTATCATTTTTCTAAAAGTGAATTTTCTAAAACATGAATACAGTCGTAGCCTGAACACTAAGAAAGATACGGCTGACACCAAACACGAGTGAACCACGATTCACACCAAACTTTTCCGAGCCGATCCGACGACCGACCCAAACCTTCCTTTTTTCTGTCGATGACACAAAACAAGCACAAGAACCATCAAACTTCCGCTCAACAACGAAAACTTGCACCATGTGTTCCCCATCACCATGCTCATGGCATCAAGGAGACAAATGGCAGAAATTGCTGCAAATTTACGATGGGATTGCCGAAACCATGTTTGAGGAATCCCGCGTCATTGCAACCCGTTTTGGCAAGACGCAAGTACACACCAGTGGCAATCCCAACCACCCCAAGTTGGTATTCTTTCATGGAATCAGCACCAACTCACTCATGTTTGGAGACTGGCTGTTTCCAGAATTGTCCAAGCAGTACTTTTGCATTGCCATTGACACTATTGGTGACCTTGGCAGGAGCTGTCCTCGCGATGGAGATCCTTCCAACGGCCCAGGTAATGAACAGGAAATGGCCGATTGGGTCATGGAAGTATTGGATCAGTGTGGTACAACACAGAAAACAGTGGAAAAAGTGGACATGGTGGGATACTCGTTTGGTTGTTTTATTGCCTCTTGTGCGGCCAAGTACTATCCAGACCGGGTCCGCAAACTAGTCTTGTTGGCTCCCGTGGGTATCCTAGCTCCGGTGCGCAAACTATGGTTGGCACAGGCTATATCCTTTGCCGTTGTTTCGCAATTTTTGCCCCAAGATGGTCGGCTAGCAGGAGGTCTTCGAACGTGGTTCTTTGGAAGCATGATGGCGGATACCGCCAGCATGGAAAACCTGAAATACCCGGAGCTGCGCAAGGCATCGGATGCCGTGGGCGGCCCGCAAGTCAAAGTGCAGCCAACGGTGTGGGAGTTGGAAACCATGGAGGCCCTGACCAAAGAGATTCCCACGCTCATGATCATTGGACGGCAAGAGAATGTTGTAGATGGGAAAGTGGCCATTAAAACCGCACAAAAGATTCGCAGCGGTATGCAAGTCAAAGTCTATGAAAATGCGGGCCACATGTTCTTTTGCGAGGAACCCAAGGACAGGGTCGCAGGGGACATTGCCCAGTTCATAAACATGGATGTCGGTAGATAAGTCTAGCTAGTTGATACGCACGGTAGTACTTCTCGTCGCTGGCATGCAAATACATGAAGTTTCACAGTAGCTACCAGTACACTTTGCAAGCTCGTTAGCTCCTCTCTCTTTTCGTTTTCAACCACAAAGAAAAGACGTCCATCTCTCCCAGTACCGGTACCAGGTACGGACTGATAGATCTTCTTGCAAACCCTTCCACCGTGGAAACTACTTGACGGTCAGCGTGCAAGGTGTAAGGACTGGTTGTTCCTTGTGCTCGCATCAAGCGACACATAGCTTTCCGTCAGGATCAGATGCAATGGATTGAAGCTTTCTTTCCTCCTCTGACATTGACAGAGTCGAGTAGACTCTAGTCAAGCGCCTTACATATACTGTATAGCTCTTACATGTACATGTACTGGCTAATCCTGACTCCTGAGTAGTTGATGTGTTGATGTTTCGTCGTTTGGTCATTGTGTGAGACCAATGCTACATGTACGACCTGCTTGAGATGGTCCACAGTCGGAACGTCGGAGCAGTGTTAAGGTTTAGGAGCTGTTTTGGGTCCAGCTGGTCCAGTGACTCGAGCTGCAAACGTTTAACAACACCAGTTCAACAGTTCAACATCTTCCATCAACAGCTTTCACCTTTCACCCTTTCACTTTTATTATCGTGCATTGTCGGATACTTAGATACTGCCTTTAAAAGTCATCCATCCATACCCCGAGAACATTCACGATGCATCAACATTTAACATTTTATGCTCCCGCTAGAGTTCAAGTGTGAACGAACTATTGCAGTTTATTGAAGTTCTAAGAAGTCATTTTTGAAGCCTTTAAATCCAGAAGCCAAGGTTGAGAATGGGGTGAATCGGAAGGCCACGTAAGAATTGCTGCTGGACGCGCTGTGCGCTGGACAGCCCGCTTTCTCGCTTCAAAATCAACGCTTCAGCAGCGGCAGCAATCACCAACTCACCAACAGACCTGGCACCAATCCACCACACCACAAACCAACTCACACCTTTCCAACAACCTGTTATCCACTGCTATTTGACCATGGGCGCTGATCAATCCATTCCTCTTCTTCAATGGACCTGCGACGATGTCGCTTCCGGCGTCGCCTCCTTAGGTCATCAGTACACTCAATACACTCAAATTATTCGAGATCAGGAGATCGACGGGCCATACCTGACAGGAGTCCCATCTGATGAGATCGATGAAGGGTTGACCAACCTTGGTGTTTCTTCCAGATTGCACAAGCGGGTATTATCCAGGAAGTTGGCGGCGCTGCGATCACCAGCAAGTCGGCGTCGATCTCTCATTGTTTCTCGAAGCAATAGCTTCGACATGCCACCTGCGGCTGGGCTTCGCAGAACTGGAACGCTGCCGTCGCAGAGTGAGAGGGAAAGACTGTTGCAAGTGATGCAGATGACTGCCGTCAGGGAACAGCGCGAACACGAAAACTTGTTGAAGAGAGAAGCGGCTTTGCTATCACAAATTGCTACCTTGGACTCGACTGCTGCCCACTCGTGAAATCAGTTATTGCAGCATGACAACCATTCGGCAGGAACACGAAACAACCTGCGCGCAAATTTATATACCTTTTAGTAAGCTACTAATGTAGACCCTTCATTTAATCCTACCGTATTTTCATGCCTATTATCACAAACTAAGTGCTGTCGTCAACATAGTTTGTTGTCTCCGCAATACATCTAGCTGAATCTAGCTAGCTAGCGGTAGCAACTTGCTGTCTGCTACCGGTAGGCAGGAAGCTACGGGGAAGGCTGCTGGGGTGACCTTTACATACACCTCGCAAGAACCCTGGAATGAACGCCAGGACGCCAAGACTCCCGATTGAAATTCGAGTCGTCGCTGAGGTGCGCGCGCACCGATATCGAGGTCAACGAAAACCCGCAGCAAGAGTTTGACGTAGTGGCTAGTAGTCAACTCTCGAGTAGTTATAAAGATTTCATAGGATTATGTATTTAGATAGTTACTACCAGTACAGGAGCACCTTGCCTGAAGCTTGCTAGCTAGCAAGCTAGCTAGCTAACTAGGCGGCATATGCACGTTGAGGCAGATTCCCGCACGTCGTATGGGTGCCCTGCGACACCCTTGCGGATCTCGAATATCTCGCCTGCTTGTCTGCGTCATGGCTCAGCCCCTTACTTGGGAATGCCCGAAGTTCCTGCTCGCTGTTGGCTCTTGAAAGGCTGCCTCTCGAAACTACATGTACTTGCCTGTCACTTTTGCCCCTTGCAAGATTGCCTCTTGACGCTTTGCGGCCAGCCGCTCTAATTGCTTGGAGTCCACCTCTCTGACTGACGGCCCTGGCCAGGACACTTGTCGATTCCTCCCTCGTACTGGTGCGAAGACCTCTGCCATACTTCATTCTTTGCAATGCACTGCTTCTGCCGCTGTTCGCCCTTTGCAAAGAGCCCCCCGATTCGAGGTTTCCACCGGGAGAACGCATGCAGTAATTTGCTTTGTCAGTTTTTGTTTTTCTTAAGGGAGGGTCTGCTTTGGCGTCCATCTTGGAGAGGCTGTTCGGTGCAGATTTTACTCTGACAACGCCGAGTCTACCCAAAGACTTCGACTGCCTTCCGCCATTGCTGCCCCCTCTCCTTGATCCTTTGCTGGGCACACTCCCGCACTCGCTGGATCGGCCCGACACGCTGGATCGACCCGATACGCTTAGGCACCGATTAGGCTTCACGGGAGGGCTGTCGGTGATGCTGGATACGCTTTCTTTCGTCGAAGGGGACCAGGTGACTGATGATAGAGACTTGCTGAAAGCCGTCATTTTGCCCATGGCTCGGGTTACTCTTCGCCTGCTTGTGTGGGACCGATAACATGAGCTGTTTGGTACCAATGGAAGGCTTCCTCTTCTGGCTTCATCCGAGGTCTCCTTGCTGGAAGCATTGCTCCGCCTGCTTCTGGGGGGCTCGTAACTCTTGCGTCGGGTTTTGGATCTCTTCATGTCTTCCAGCAAATGCTTCAGTGCCTTGTCGTCGCGGAACTTGCATTTCTTGTACTTTTTGCGGATGAACTTGGACCATCCGTCATCGCTTTCATCTATTTCCTTGCAAGCGTATGTCTTGTCGAAGTCAATGTATACTTCATACACATCGTTGACAAGCTCATTTCCACTTCTGTGAAGAATGTCAAGGTCCTTGTGTGACCATTCATGCACACATTCCAGACATTTGATCAAGCAGCGCTTTTCCCCAAGTTCGTGAAGGTGGCGAATAGCACAATCATCGCATACCATGACACACAGGAATCCTTCCACGAGGATCGAAGAACCATCGTCGTTAAGTTTGTCAAGCAAGAATGAAGCCCAACGGGGACACCAAGCAGTGCAATCCGCACAGGTTGGGTTGTAATATTGAGCTTTGGCTAGCCGATCTAAGATATCCTCCTCGTGGCAGTCCTTGATGGAAGGCATGGTTTCTCCTGAAGATGAAACAAACTTGGAGTTTGAAAGATTGTGAGCCAACTGAGCAGCAGCAGAGGCCACAGGATTGGCTCCCTGACCTGGCCAACTAGGTATCGGTGGCTGGCCTGTTTACGCCCCCGCTAGAAT